CCGGTACCTCATTAGTTGTGTAAACGAACGTTGAAAATATTTAATACCTTACGGGTTAACAATAGTTACTCCGTCAAAATATTGTCACACCTCACTGAAAAGTCAACTTACTGATAACATAGTTGTAGTTAGTGCTATTGGATTACTGGAGGTTATCTTACGGTATTAGGTCTCAGTATACACAAAGGGAAAAGCAAGACTCTCCGATACAATACAATATGCACCAATCGAATTGCACTCGACGGAGAAGCTTTGGTGAATGTGGAAACCTTACATATCTGGGGAGCATCATTGATGAACACGGTGGATCAGATGCAGATGTGAGGGCGCGGATCGGCAAAGGAAGAGCAGCATACTTACAAATGAAAAACATCTGGGGCTCAAAACAATTGTCAACCAACACCAAAGTCAGAGTTTTCAATACAAATGTCAAGACAGTTCTACTGTATGAGGCGGAGACGTGGAGAACTACGAAAGCCATCATCCAGAAGATACAAGTGTTTATTAACAGCTGTCTACGCAAGATACTTAGGATCAGATGGCCAGACACTATCAGCAACAAGATACTATGGGAGATGACAAACCAGATTCCAGTGGAGGAAGAAATCGGGAAAGGGGGCTGGAAGTGGATGGGGCACACTTTGAGGAAAGCCCGCAACTGAGTCACAAGGCAAGCCCTCACACGAAATCCTGAAGGCCAAAGGAGAGGAGAAAGATCAAAGAACACATTACGCCGAGAAATAGAGACAGACATGAGAAGAATGAACAAAAGTTGGGTAGAACTAGAAAAGAAGGCCAAGGACAGAGTGGGTTGGAGAATGCTGGTCGGCTGCCTATGCTCCATTGGAGGTAACAGGCGTAAGTAAGTAATTAATATTACGGTATTCAGATTAACCTATTTTACTAAAACAAAACGGATTTTTTGTGACTACTGAATGAAGCAGAGGTTAACTGAAATACGACTACGTGACCACAAGCAAGCATTTGGTTTCCATCCTATGAAAACGTTTACTGCTTTAAGCTTACCACGCTGGCAGGTGTTGAAAACTTAGAGATGTCAACCTTGATATACGTATTTCCAAACTAAAGCAGAACAGATGCAATTATTGTATTATCATACGAGATTGTCCAGCGACACTTATTCAGTCAAGAAACATTATTCAAGTGCACGAATACCAGATCCGTTAGCCCATCGTAACAAATGTGACACTCAGGTATGCTGAGAAACTTGATAAAAACAATGATACAAGCCAACCGAAAAACTAGCCTTTCTAAAGACTGTGTTTAGGCAATGAAAGGGGGCTTTACAGGAGCAGTACCAATCATTAGCTTATCAACCATTGTTGTAAGCAATAGAAGCGCAACCATGTTCATTCAAGACTCCATAAAAACCTCGTCATCACTACTAGGATCAAGCCAAAAGATCATTACTGCATTAGTAACTACTTTCGGAGTCTCTTATTATCATCCCTGTTCCTTCAAAAATTCTTTCATTTCCATCTTCTTACACTTTAACAACTAAGGCCGATCAAAAGAAGCCCATACGTCCTAAATTCTTGTGAGTTGTTCAATGCTTTATTTTTTCTTACCCTGAAAATTTTACAATATTTACTATCATATCCTCTGGTTTGCTATTAGCCCTTACCATCTCTTAACTACATATAATCTGACTTATCTCTTCTAACCTTTACCATTAGTTATCTTCATAGTAGTACGATATATTAAATGGATATCTAACCCATAATACAAATGTTATTACCATCTGATTTGCTTGTAACATGGAACTTGTAGAGACAGCGTATTCCAAATAAGGTCCTTGATAAAAGCAATATTCATACCGACCATAAACGTAAGAGAGCCTAACATCATAAAAGGAGGGAGGATGGCGTTACTGACCAGCAAACATGATGGTGGGGAGATAACTTCAATCCACCCGTGTCTGTGGGGCAGAACATATTAATTACGGCTCCTTATGTCTAGTGGGGTGTCACGAACCAACGGTATTGATGCGAAATTATTCATGCAAAATACCACTTTGCATCATGTTAAAAAAAGCTGAATTGGTTCCACTTCCTACCAAGTAATCCTAATACAAGCAAACTAGACAATTGGTTAAAAACGAAGCCCACTCCATACCCTATAAAATCTGAAAACAAAAAAGGAGAGTTCAAACAGCTTCTAAAGTAAAGAGAGACAGTCATTTGTATCGGAATACTGTTTTCAGCACTTTATTTTATAATTACACAATTCCATACTTCCTTCTAAACTACCTTCATTTATGCAGTTCCTTATCCACTCATACCTTGCCCACACTTATTTTTCTTTAACACATTAGTATGTTCTTACCTAATAAATACTTCAGTAACAGAAAAATAGACTAAATGGTTATACATTAACTATTCCTCCATGAATATGGTGTGCTCTGCTTTTCGTCCTTCCTTTTTCTTACACCTTTTTCAGCCTCCTGCAGATACTCAACCGAAAACAGATATGGCACGGGTGACTTCGTCCTACACCGTTATTAATGCTTCCGATATTCTGGAGGGATATAAGTTCGAAACTTCGAAAAGCCCCTAACTTCGCATGTATCTATTCTCGACCATCAGTTGTATGTTGCAACGCTATCTCCATAAAGTTCGCCAAGTATGATTTTGATATTGACATGTTTCTTATGAAATCCATTTACATTCATATCTTATGAAATATCAACCCAGCTGAGTAATTTTCAACAGTGAAAATTGTAACTACTTTAACAATTTGATCTTGCCTGTAAACCGGCATGCCTCATGTAAGAATCTGTTGTTTGAGAATAAATTATTATTATTAACTTATTTGCTGTTCTTGAAGAAATCACCTTTTTCCACACTCAAATTATCACTTATTACTTCTACGTTACAACCAATCCATCCCCTTTCTGGTAAATTGGTGTCTGCTGGTATCCACGCATTCGAGATTAGCGAATATGTAGTGTCGTGCTTCGCTAATTGTTCACCTCGACAACCGTTATAATACAAATCTTAACGGTGCGTAAAATCAAAAGATAAAGAGAAGCGGCAGAAATAGTTTATTGTCAATTGACGCATGACAGAAGGTTATGAGCACATAAGACAATATCAGAGGGCAAAACAAAAATGATATGCATTGGAGATGGCGGGTAAGCCAACTCCTTTAACCAAGCGTTAATCAATATTTGTAGTCAGACAAAAATAAATGACAGACATGTGATGAATAGGATAAGAAGTATTCACATATCTACGCTCATATAAAAATGGTCAGGGTTAATAAGTGAATGATTAACAAGGTGAAAAATGACTCATGATGGATAGGTGAATAGACTCGTCCAGAAGTTAGAATAAGGGATATGGGCTCAACATAACAACCGATGCTACAAGTACCTCGAACAGTACCAAAGCAACGAGAGACGAACGCAAAGACATCAACCGATTTATACAAAATCACGAAAAAGATACTATAGGAGTATACTGGAGTCTTCAAAACAGGTACAAAACATAAGCCTGAGAATTACCGATCAATTAGTTTAACTAGTGTGGTTGTTAAAATCTTAGAAAAGATTATTCGGAAGGAGCTGTTAAAGCATCTCGATGAAAACCGGATCCTCTCCGAAAAACAGCATGGCTTTAGAACAGGTTACTCTTGTCTCACAAACTTATTAGTCGCTCGTGAAAGCTGGTGCGCTTTTAAGGACCAAAGGTTACCTATAGACGTAGCTTATGTCGATTTCAGCAAAGCTTTCGACAAAGTTCCGTATAACCGGCTGTTATATAAGCTAAGGAATGTCGGGATTGGAGGCAATCTATTGATGTGGATAAGACTTCCTAGTTGGGCGTCAACAAAGAGTAAGGGTGAACTCCAAGTTGTCTAGCTGGGAAACTGTGCTTAGTGGAGTCCCCCAGGGTACAGTTTTGGGCCCAGTGTTATTCCTCCTGTACGTAAATGACCTCCCTCGTCTACTATTGTCATCGGTCTTACTCTATGCTGACGATGTCAAGATATGGAGAGCGATACAAAGCAAGGGCGATAGCTTAGAACTTCAAAATGACCTGGAGAGATTATCTGAATGGTCCCAAACCTGGCAATTGCCGATAAACACTTCCAAGTGTATTGTGATGCATATTGGCCACCAGGGTACAGATACATACACGATGAATAACACTGAGTTAAATATTGTCCATTCACACAATGACTTAAGCGTCATCGTTAGTCAAGAGTTAAAGACTACTGCACACTGCCGTGCAATAGTCGCCAAAGATTTTAAGACTTTATGGTCCATACGCAGGGTTTTTAGACATCTTGACGCTAAAACGTTTCTGACTTTGTATACAGTGTTCGTACGCCCTAAACGTGAGTACTGCATACAAGCAGCTAGCCCCTGCCTAAAAAAGACAGTGAACTCTTGGAAAGGGTTCAGAGAACAGCAACTAGGCTGATTCCCGGAATAGCGAAGCTTCCCTATGGTACTAGACTGACCAAGCTAAACCTATTCCCGCTGTCATATAGAAGAATCAGAGGCGACTTGATTACAGTTTTCAAATTGCTTAATGACAAATTTGGACATGATATGCCCTCATTTTTCTTGTCTTCCAAAACAGAAAATCTACGAGGACACAAGCCCAGAACAAATTACTTGTCAGCTGACTACCGACTTTCCCATCGAATAATCAAAGAGTGGAATTCATTACCTCAGCACGTGGTTGAGCCTCCATCCGTCGACTCCTTCAAAAGAAAGTTGGATCAGCTGAGAGACCGTGATTGCCAAGACTAACGCAGGCCATCTAGCCTACTGTCCTTTCCAAACTGAAACTGATACTGAAAGTGAATGGCTAATTATTTTTATAGAGCAAGTTTGAAGGCTCCTGAATGATTGAAGTAACGATTGTACCATTCCACATTTTGGAAATATCCCATTAGCCATAAACGCAAACCACCACTAGGGTAAGAAATTTCTCTTCATCAACAATGGCCACAGATCGAAAATGGATAAAAATTGTATTTTATGGAAGCGTTGTTTTGATCTGCTACATTTTGCTAATTCTCTATAGTATCAAGTGTAGGCTGTTCAAAAATGAAAATGAAAGTCGTGACAAATGACTCCATAATTCATATCCTTTTTTATCATACTAAAAACATTAATATTAATATTATCATATTATAAGTTATTTACTTAACGGCACAAACATAATGATTTAGCTAGTTCTGTTGACTGGGTGTCTTGCGATGAAATAATTTCGATTGCTGATGATCGAGCTGTTAAATGTTGGAATCTGATATCAGATCAAGTGTCAGACTTATTAAGCTTGCCTCATAATGTATTTCCAACATGTATGGACCGGCTTCCCAGACAAAGGACAAAACACTCTACTAAGACTTCAAGAGAAAGTGAAATATTCTTGCTCGGAGCTACTGATGGTAAATTTACACGATAGTTTTTGAGGTATTTCAGGGAAATGTTACATCATTTCTAAAGAGAAAAAAATAGAACGAACTTCAGATGCTCATCAGGGGGCTGTTCTATCTGCGAAATGGAATTTCGATGGAACTTCTTTTGCTACATGTTAGTGTACATTACGCAAATAACATTGTCCATCTAGCTGGAGAAGACGGACAAATAAAAATTTGGTCACGGAGTGGGATGTTAAGATCCACTTTGTGCCAACACAGTAACTTGTCTTTATATTGTGTAACGAATTTTTTCGTGATCAGGTTATCCTATCTACTCGATTTCATGGGGTGCTAACTCCAATATGATGCTTTTCTCTCTCGACAGACAACTAGTTACGCAATCTCTTCAAGCAAATGTCAAACCTTTTGCTGTAAGTAAGTTAAACACCTCAACCACTTGCTTCCTATAGTGGAAAGCTCATGATGGTGTCATTTTGCAAGTTGATTGGAATGCCATCAACAATCAACTTATTTCCGCTTCAGAGGATTGTAAATACAAAGTAAAATGCCATGATTGTAACCGTATCTCAGGTATGGGACAGTTACGGGAGGCTCTTATATTCGAGTGCGCCTTTTGAATATCCAGTTACTTCGATCTCATGGTCTCCTGATGGTCAGTTATTTGCAGTTGGATCATATGCTACTGTAGTGTTGTGTGATAAACTTGGGGTGAGTTTACAATATTTGTCTTGTATCGTTCACTTTTTGCCTGATGTGAAAGGAGATTTCCATCACAACCTTATTTAGTTGTGGGATATTAATTATACTTTAATCACTGGAAATGATTTACACTTAAAGACTCAAAGGAATAGAACATAATAATACTAAAGTTATTGTTTAAAATGAGGATGCAGAACATGAACATATTATCTGTACTACTTTAGGATAAAACTAAGAAAAAGATTTTAAACTGTCAAACTTTTCCCTCTGGGAGGAATTAGCAACTCTGTTTCATGTGTTTTAAAAACGCTGAAGAACCTCAGTAATGTTTTGGGATGAATATAGTCTCGTGAGTTACATTTCGGATCAATCGAAGATATAATCTTAGATACGTGTTTATCGGCAACGTTTGGTCTTTTTCGGAATAACTAATCGATTAAAACATTTTGGAAATTAAGTTCACATTCGCATTTTGGTAACAGTTTGCAGTCAGTCTATCATCCTTTCTGGTTGCAACGCTTAAGCTGTAAACACACAGTTGCGATGAATCTATAAGAAAGTCTAAAAATTACAGTTACGTCAAGTCGCTGTAGGTTTAGTTTCGTTACTTATTTATTCTAGGTTCTATTGCTCACCTGTGTTTGGCTATTTGATTTTAGAAAAAAACACTGTATTGCACGAGCTTTATCAGTTTAGCATAGATTCATAAATAGATGAATCAAAAATTCTCTTGCAAAATAATCTTCCAGTTTTGTTAAAAGCCTAGCTAATCATCCTGATTCAAACCTTAAATCAAAGGTTTTATCGTTCTGTAATGTTCAATAAAAGCTATTCAAAGTTTACATAAGATTGATAAAGATGCAGTCTAATTGATTTGGAGATACGTACTTACATATTTTGTGCAATTATGAATATAAACTTGAGTGTTTTTAATGTTAGTTTTCATGTACTAACTGAAAGTGCAACAATGGGTTTATTAGGCATTATATTATTTAGTTGACTTTACTCAATTGAAAAAAAGGATTTGGTATACATCTACAGAACATGTGCCTTTATCTGATGCCACTATATTTGGAGCTCAGTTGGGAATTAAAATTTTATTTAATTAATTTTGAGTCGGACCATTTGTACAAAATACTAGCAATTCTATTCTGAAATAGAAAAACTCAACAGTTCTGCGTTGGTAGAACTGAGCTGAGCTGTTGAAATTTAAGTGTCATTGAAATGAAACGAATTCCTCTTATTCACTATGTTAAGTGCCTTGGTGTAGAGTTTTGCGTTTGTTAGCACTCAAAAACATAGTGCATCTTAAACCATTTTGGACCTGATACTCATGGAGTGGTTTAAGATTGTATCACTGCGATTATTCAAAGTATTTGAATTATAGTAGGAACTTGGAATCTCAGAATTAACTTAATTTGACCAAGAAGTACTAGATGACCACAAACGAACGTATTGTATTTGAAATTCAAAATCAAGCAGTCATCGAGTGCAAAGAAATCATTAGTTCACAAGAAACACCACAACCACTTACAGTCACTTCCACTGAGTTATTCAAGAATCGATATAGGTGTATTCTATCTTATACTCGCGTGGCTCAGTTTAAATTCAAAATAGAATCATTTTAGTGTTGATAACTGAAATCAATATATATCGAGCCAATATCCTAGGGCTTCATGTTAGTGACTGTTGTGACTGGCAATAACAGAGAAACCGATAGAGGTCAGCAAGCACAGATCAGCTATTTTGTTGTAATTTTGGGTTTCTGGCAAGTCTGAATTTCAGAGAATATTCTGCAAGTTTCAGTAAAGAGATGAATTTGATACATTTTGGTCACATCAAAAGTGGAGAAGACATCATCATTCATATTAAGTCATGGTCATACCATTTTATTGATTGACTGAAGTTTTTATTGTATGCCATTGGATTCCGACTCAGTGACCAGAGTCCCTTGATTTTTAATGGTTCCTCAATAAACATCAGTTCGTTGTATTACGCTACATTCTTAATATCACCTAAAGCAATCTGTATTAATTTAAATTTTATGTCCTAAATTTTTAACTTACAGTGGATTCATGCTTTAGAGGAAACGCAAACTGGTAGTATTCTGAGTATCAAATGGTCTCCTGATGGTAATCAAATAGCATGCGCTGGTGGAAATGGTCGAATAATTAATGGATATGTTATTGAAAGATGTTTAGAATGGAATGGTTTTGAAGCATTGTTAACAGATGAACGAACTGTTGTATTACAAAATCAACGAAATGAATCGATAGAACGTCTAGAATTCCGTGATCGCGTATCAAAAGCATCATTCAGTTTCAATTACTTTATTGTGGTAACTAGCACACAGTGTTATGTATACAAGTAAGATTTTAGTATTTTGTTTATAAACCAATTTATTGTCTAATTCTGAAATTACTTTCAGTGCTGTTTGAGATCAATTAGGAAACTTTAAAAAACCATAAAGCACTTGATGGTTGGCTTTTTGTAGTTGCGGAATTCATATCCATGACCTCACCAATGACTGAATCAAAAACATTCGAGTCTCATGGCGAACACAAACGCCATGCTGAAACTGAGCAGTTTATATTTCTAGCTTGAGCTAATTCGTAACATGAAATCAATTCATTTTTCTTGAATCATACTATCTATGTCAAACCTTTATTATTACTACCACTGATACCATTAACAGTACTCAGTCATTATATATATATATAATGAACTACATCAGATATTATTTCATTAGTGAGCACATGATAGTCGTCCAACTGAATGGTTTGAAGAGATAAGTTCAATTTGAATGACAGGACAAACAACTTAGTAAGCCACTAATGTATCTTACAATTTATTCGTAGAACATATAATTAGTCAAAATTAGCTGTACATTTCGTTATTTACATTCTGTATTAATAAAAAAGAGATCAAATTTAGTATTTTCATCCCAACTACCTTAAGTCGTTTGAAATATAACAAAGTCACATTAATTAGTGAATATTTTAAATAAGTAAGTTCAATTCATACCAAAGGACATGATGATAAACCCAGGCTAAAAAGTGTGATCACAAAATTGAGTCAAGGCAGTATTTACACAATCAAATAATTGTCTAATATCACAATATTATGAAAATCAGTTTAAAGCTAGTACTCATTAAAATAATTCAAGTAGTTACTATCTAGTGTTACTAAAACTTGTGACTAAATTGTAGTGTTCAGGACATGTGGTAAAGATATGTGTATGAGTAAAGAGAATAATCAGTTACTGTTCTTAATATCAACAAAGGGAAAATATAGACCTCAAAAACGAAATTTTTATTCGTTTCACAAGCTTGTGAACATATGAACTCAATAACCTAGAGGATGACGTGCCTAGGATTTGAAAAAACTGACACATGGTCCGCGTCACAGTATGGAAATAACCAATAGTGTACAGGGGAATCCAGAGGACGAGTTTCAAGTTAGGCCAACACCAAAAATTATCAGGCTTTAGGTAATTTCTGTTTCAAGACGTCCATCATTATTTGTTAGTTTAATTATATATTACAATATTTAACTTTTTTAAAAATTTATTTTTCAGTATTAAAAATTTCAATACACCTACCATTGTTGAACTTAAAGAGTCCAGCGTTACTCATATTTCTCAATGTCAGAAGTGAGTTACTTAAAATCTTACTATTTTGTATTGATTTTTTAATCATTCAAATGGTTAAAAAAGATTTTCATGAGCGAAAATACATGACCAATCAGTATACCGCAATATTTAACTTACTAAAATCTAGATCATATAAAAGCTTCGAATCAACATCTTCTTATAAGTTTGATTTCTGGTTGTGAAAGTATAATCTTCAAGCAATATAAATTTATCGAAAATTCAAGATTTGAAAAATGACCAGAAGGATAATGCCTCAACCACTAAGGTATAGTTCATAAATAATCTAGGATCTAATATGGATACTTATCAGTTCAACTTGTCACATCACTACATTATCTTATTGAGGGGAAAATATCTGTGATAAGAAGCTGAAGATTGTAAATGCTGTTAAACGCTGTAGGAAGCTAAACGTACAAATACGAATCAAAAGAAACAAAAGAAACCAACGAACAGGAAACATAAATTAATACTAATTTAGGATTTGTAGGAAACAAAGGCGTAAATACAAATATGACTATGTGACAACTGTTATGTTATTGGTATAAGATTCATTTTGAGTGTGAAACCAATGTCTCACACAAATGCCTACGTAAGGACTAAAGAGCGTCATACTACTTGTGCAACTGAGTAAATTTAGAGTTGTTAATGAGACTCTATTCTAACTGAATAGTCTGAATTTGAAAAGTCTCCAATCTTATAGTTTACATCATGGGCTCTTCGAAGTTAAGCATGTAAAATATCGGATGCCGACCCAGTAATCTAGGGGCTAGAAGCCATCTGTGATAACTGGAGACTTCAAGCTTGATTCTCAGAGGGACTGTGGATTAGCCATGCTAAGGAGTCCCATACTACGGCTGTCCAGTGCCCTCTGGTTTTCATCAGTTCAAGATGTAAACTACAAAGTGCTACTATCTCCACAATCCCTTAAATTAATTAAGTCTTCAGTTCATAATTACTGGCGTTTTAAATCAAGTATTGATTTGGGGACTTAAGTCGATAGAATTCTCATACCACTTAGTTCATCTCAAAGTTCTTATCTCCCTATTACATAATTATTAACATATTTCTGACTACTTTAATACTTTGTTAGCGCTGCAAATAAGCTTGCTTTAAAGTTATTTACTTCATTACTCATCTTAATTTACTAGTGCCTATTAGCATCAAAATCCAAGTATCAACAGTGGTAGTTTTTGTCGTTTTAAATTAGAGTAATCTACTATTAAAACCCATAAGTGAGATCATCCCATCACGTTTTCGATTGGATTTCTTTTAAAATGTGATGAACATTCAGTGATAATTGGAAAATAAGCTACGCTTTGTTTTACTTAAGATTTACTCTTTATCCATGTAATCAGAGCCTTTCGTCGTATTTAAATTAAGAAGCTTAATTGTGACATGTGGTCATTTGAGTTTTACATAATCAGACGAAAGTCAGGAATAGTATTCAATGGAAGGAAAGATTTTGAGGGATTTATGTTGTCTGGGATGATTTAGTCTTGAAGTTTTCATTGTTTTTCTAGACAAGATCAGCATATGTGTTAAAAAAGTAAGCTATGAAGATTTTTTTTCACAAGCGATTAAAATCGTTCTGTTAATTTTAATTTGATTAACTTCATGAAAAAGTTCTCTTTTCTTAAAGCCGCAACTTGATAGAGATAAATCTAGCGGCATTAGAACAACAAAAAATGTTAGTGTAGCTGACTTTTACAGTTGACCAGTAGTAGTTTCTCAACTAAAGAATAAGTTGCTTGTTTTCTCAACATTACCGTGTGTTTACGAATTGAGCTGCTTCTATAGAGAAAGCTATTTTCGACATTCTACTGAACAAGTGAGTCAACAAAATAACGAAAATTTCTTTTCACGGGTTTGAAAGGATCAGACAAAATTTATATACAGCTCCGTTCTATCACATTATATCGATAGTCGTCATATGGTAGATAGGACAAATGTAGTCAAAGTGACTTCTCGTATCTCATCAACTTCTTATATGGTTCGACCTCGTCTCCTACATATAATAGACTTTATAAGGATTGAAGTTAACAACCGTAAACTCTCTATTCAGAAGAAATTTGTGACATTCTTGTTTCCTCCTTATTCGGATAAAACTTAATAGAAAATTTTATCAGGTCATCATACCCTTAGTTTGTTTGCTTTCATACACTCCTTTTGTCCCTACTTACATATTTACGCTACTTAATCACAAATCTCGTATTACTTAGTTTTTAGTAAGCATTATGTTGATAAGCTTATTTTATCAAGTTCCGACCTACTCTTTATGTCAAATATTTATTCAATATATTATAATTATTACTAAACCCTTAATATTGCTATCAATTTATACCTCCTACTTATTCTGATTAGTCATTTAATCCTTTTTCGTTATTATCATTGACTTGTAAATTGTCATGATTGGTTTTGTACTTTTCATACACGGAAATAAGTATTATCGTGTATTGGAGCAAAGCCTAATTTAAATTGAATCAACATTGTCGAATGTGAGTCAGTCACACATCAAGTATATTAAATGATCATATGATATTACGACTTGATGGAATTAAAACATGTAAACCATCCGATGCCGTGTTAGTGGTATACAGGCTGAGCGTTCGCACACAGTGCTGAGGGTTGGGGATGCGCACTGCTATCATTATTATTGCTTATTTGAACACTTAAACATTGGTACAAGGAGGCACCAAATATATGTGCGACACATAAGTGATTCATTTTGTGTGAGTGCTAAGATAATGCCAGGGCACCCAAACTGAAGCGCACTGCTAAGCGGTCTCACGTCAGGACGAGTTAGCTATCTAGTGCTTCCTCATTTCCGATGATTGTTTAGCTAAGATTGTTTTATATAGTTGAGATCATGAGGCAATTGAAGCTAGACCACCATGGAAAACTTGGAAGCACTAGACGGCCGTTTTGTCCTATTGTGGGACTCCTCAGCAGTGTGCATCCACGATCCCGCCTCGCGAGATTTTAATCCAGGACCTATCAGTCTCGCACGCGAGCGCTCAACTACTAGACCACTGAGCCGGCATCCAACGGTGTTAATGTCTAAATTCAACCAATTCACGAAATTAAGCAACACATCCACCAATGTGTTCAGTGAGTTACTATCTCATAACAGACCTAGTTGAACTCCACTGGTCACTGCTTCTCACTAGGACTCCAGGATATACCTCATGGAGTCATTCACTAGTGAGCATATGTTGATTATATACAAATCTTTGATTATTTATGGGTGGTAAACCGTATTTCTAGTAAAAGAAGATATATATTGATGAAACTACTTTCAGACATGTTAAATTTGAAGGTGACTTCCGTTATAGATTGATGTCTGTTGAAAAACTATTGAAATCTAGGCTATATGATCCCAAGTCATTAATATTGTATTCACCACAAGTGATGAAAGCTATCTTCTAAAAAAGGATTTTAGTTAAAAATATTGTTTTCTTTAAGTTAAACAAAAATAATTAATAATCTTTTTATTACTACAGATATTTCGCTTTAGCTGATGGATCCAGTGTGTATGTCTACAATTATGATGTACGTCTTATTTGTTCATTAAAACATGCTAATATACACGCGGAACAAATTTATGCAGATTCTATAACTATGAGCAATGATGTGATTGGTATTAAAGACCAATTAGATAAGAAAGGTTAGTTTGCTTGAATTAATATGACATAAGTTATTGTTTATTAATTCTATGAAGGCCTGTCTGTTATTTTGAAATCCTGATCATTGTTTATTGGCAGATAATTTATCCATTCAGTCAATCAGTCACAACGTAGAACTTCGTACGTACGTACATCAGTTCGAGTTGCCATACCACGTTAGCACAGAGATGCAGTTGTTGATTCAAATCCTATAGTACTAGAAGTAGTAAGAGTATAAGCATTATTTGAAAGATTAGGGTTTGAAGATGTTATTGAAGGAGTATAATACAGTGAAATAAATTTGGAGAGAGAAAAAGGATAGGGACATGAGGAATTCAGAAGATTAGAATTTGGAAGAACACAAAGAGTGGATGCACCTTCGCCATTGCAAGTGATTTTGAGCCATGTCAGTCAAGGTCTCTAACCATCGATTGCTATCATCTCGCGAATCCCAACCAGGTAGTCTACACCTACCAACATGGATCAGTCCAATTGTCGGCGACTTCATGGATTTATGTCACGTTTTGGTCTGGCCGTCCCTATCTTTCTTCCAACCTACTCCTACACCATAAAGCATTGCACATCGGGGCAGTCGGTGGTTGGACATTCGTAACACGTGTCCCAGCCATCTCAACTGATGGAGTTTCACTACTTCATCAATCGATTTGCCATCCTTACCTAGTACCCGTTTCCTAACAACTGCATTACTTATCCGGTGGTCCCAGGATATACGAGCAATGCGTCGAAGACACCTATGATCGAATACTAGTAGCCTACGAATATCCTCTACTCCATTCAGTTGACATTTGATATTAAACATAAGAACTGGGATAAATATGCATCCATCCAAGTTTTTATACTTCTTATCAACAAAATACGAGAGGCAATAAACCAGATTTAAATGAAAGAAATTGAAATAGTAACAGTATCAGTGACGACAAAAAGTTGAACAGAAAATTTATTTTATAATAAATCACTTAGGTCGAGAAATAAAAGGTATGAGATAGTATGTAAGTAAATTCAAGAGTTAGAAGATGATAAAGAACAAACATAATGGAGTACTATAAAACTGGTTTTGAGAGATTCCAACTGATGTCTCCTACCACAGAATATGATTGTTATGAAAAAATGCTCTAAGTCAAGGTCCAACGCTTAGTGAATTATTCAACTAATAATACATCTTGATTTGGATGCTATGGCTTTTTCCCCAACCCTCTTTTAAACTAGACACTGTTGAATTTTGTAGAAAGCCATGGTTAGGATGTGTCATGGATACATGTTGAAAGTTTGTAGTCTTATCAGTCGACTTAGAATTTCGGCTTAGTCTTAGTATATCTTACCTCACTATTACACATTTATTGGTTCCATTGTACTTGAGCAACATATGGAGGACACTTATGATCTAATACTTGCAAAATTCATACGTTTTTTTACTTTTAAAGGTAATATTTTATGGGGATAATGTAACATAGGAAGAGCTGCTACGAAGCTTACTCATTCTGATAGACAGATTTGCATTTAACTTTAATCACAGACATTTCAATTTAAAGAAGGTAAAACTAACTTTTTTATCCACATTGAAAAATCATCAACCACCGATCCATTAAAGCTGATAAAATTCCCATGATATATAACGCAGTGAACCTGAATCATGCCTTGACGGATTGTGTGTTGCTTCAAACCATGGAATGATCGGTGAGGATAGATAAATGACTTAAAAAATAACCGCAATTTTTTGTGGTTGTTTATATTTTAGAATGATAACTCGTGTTTGAAGTAAATCACCAAGTTAATCATGTTGATTTTGGAATTGATTTTAAATTGAGGTCATAATTTAAGTATGATTTATACTAACAAAGTTGTTTATTATTTTGTGAACGGATAAACCTTTGAATATTTTTGTCATATTACCAACCAACATCAGTTGGTTAATCATTGAAAACCAGGGGGGGGGAGCAAACAGCAGTTTACTTCCAGTACAAAACAAAATAACAAAGCTCATTGACGACTCAGTCATGCTCTCAACTCAGAACCCTCAGATTTCACTTCAAGCTCATTGTCAAGTAACTAGCTATTGAGACTACACAGCTGTTGATTTCTTCCATGTTTATGATAGCACCTTAACTGCTGTCAATCCATAATAGAGACCACCTACAAATTTAATTAATCTCCTTTAAACTCTTTAATAAATAAATAAATATTTATTGATCTACGTTGTGTTAACATGAAAAAATGATTTATAATAGAGGTTCTACTCATATTTGATTTACTTTTCAGTTATTCACTTATTTGATCCATCGAGTGGTAAAACGCTAGGTGATGGTAAACCAATAACACATTCGGTAATTGCTATTATTTTGTTATATTATAATTGAATGACTATTAAACTGAATTAAATCGCAAAGTCTATTTATATCACAATTTGAAGTTAAGTGGAAAACCGTTAAAAAACTAGAATCCAGTAGATAAATATCCAACAGAGGGTCATTCAAAAGTCGTCAAATGTGTAGGACACTCTGTGTCGACCAAAATGTGCATGTACTGGACTACTTTTTCGTCCTAGCATGGGACTCTTCATCGGTGCACAAACACTTAACCTCTAGACCACTGAGCAGGCATCTGACGGTGTTAAAGTCGAACTTTAATCAATCCACCATGTTGCCTCATAACAAGATGGATTTCCTGGAGTTCTAGTGAGAAGAAGTTATGACCGGTGGAGTTCAACTGTGCCTGTTGTGAAACAGTTACTCACTGAAGACAATGGAGAACAGTCGCTCAATATCACGGAACGGTTGAAGTTAGACATTAACGCCGTTGGATTCCAGCTCAGCGAGAATTAGCGCGCGAGACCGAAGATGCTGGGTTTGAGTCCTAAGTGCGGAATGGTGTATGAAGTTCGAAATCGAGCTTCATGATTCCCTATTAGTTATTTTCAAACACTGGATTATAATATGGTTATCGAATATAATAATATACTATTTTTATTTTTGATCTACATGACATTTCAGTGATGTGACAGTTTTTTTCGTTGCTTTATAGACTGAAATTATGAAAATTAGTTTAAATCAAATGGGTAATTCATTTGATCGTCGATTGGTTCTGTTAGATAGTAACAAAGACTTATATTTAATGTCAATTAGAATACTTGGTAATCAAAGGAAAATGGTTAAATTAGGTAAGTTTATCAGATGACAGACACAAAAAGTCGATTTGAGTATTACTTGCAGTCATTTTTTCTCAACTTTGTGGTTTAGGCGAGATATCCACTTTTCCTCTAAATGATACGTTTATTGTGCAATAGTTTGCTCCTTTTGTTTTTATAGATATGAAATACAGCCTTTAAAAGTGGTGCGTGCCACTGACGTCGGTAGATATAAGTAGTATGTATCATCAACCGAAAGTGAAATACCTAGAGCAGAAGGTTAAGAAGATCAAAGAAAAGAGAACGAGTACAGAGAATGACTGCTGAGGAAATGTGAACAGTGAAGTCTGAAACAGTTGGCTGACATTCGCAAAAGGAACAGACAATTTTGGGACCATTGATTGACATTTTGCGAATTAAGTATTTGCTGTATATTTCTCAGATTTTACTAAGAGATTATTGTTGTATCCCCTGGCGAATTATGAATCATAAATCTGATGTCCATTTATGGACAAATGTAATACGCCTATTCCTATTGGATAGTTGTTAAATGAGTAACCTAAATCTGATGTCTATTTATGGACAAATACAATATTTTTAAAGCATGAGTCAATTGAAGCTAGACCACCATGGAAAACCTGGAAACACTGGACGGCCGTTTCGTCCTATTATGGGACTCCTCAGCAGTGCGCATCCACGAACCCGCTCGCGCGAGATTCGAACCCATTCGAGCCCATTCCCTATTGGATAGTTGTTAAATAAGTGACCTAATCGTTTCCGTGTTCCTCTTATCATAACCTTTATTTTGACCTTGGAACTATTATTATTGATTACTTTCCCCCTAGCTACAGCCACATTGGCCAATTACTGTACAAATGTTATTTTTCTATTTTTTGGTATAATTGGGTCTGTTTGGTTAGTATATATAACCCAGTGTGCTTGTGAATAATGATTCATATTTCCGAGGCTGTTATTTGTGTTCTGGACTCAACTGGCTGGGCTAGGCAGTTAGGAAGGACCGAATAGCAATCAAGACTGCTCGTACGTATTTCCTGTATCATTGCACGTTTCATATACAATAACGATTGTTATACGAGTCATAACAATTATGTAATTTTGTGTTCGAATACACCCAAATGTCCCCACTTATGTTCTCATTCACTACGCTAGTATTCGATCACAGATGTCTTCGAAGCGTTGCTCGTATATTCTGGGATCAATAAGCTAGTAATTTTGAGATCAGAGGTAGAGTACTAGATAAGTATAGCAAATGGATTTACGAAATTTTGGATCTTTATCAACTGAGATGGTTGGGACATGTATTACAAGTTTAAATCCATTGATTACCTCGACGCGTGATAATGACCGATGTAGGAGTGAGTTAGGTGAAAGTTAGGGTCGAGAAAACCATACATGGCATCAGTCCATGAAGTCATTGACAAACTACCTGGTTGGGGTCAGAGGGTTTATCATAACCAATGCTAAGAGACTTTGAATGACATGGGTCAAATTTGTTCACAACGACGTAGGTGTGTCCAATCATTTTCTTCCCTTAAATCCCAGGTTTCTAAGTTCCTAACAAATTTTATTATTTCACTAATTTATATTTCCTAGAATTTGATCTTAGATGTATGTTCCTTTCTGTCATCATTGATGCTGTAGCTATTTCTATTTTTCTAAGATTTAACCAGACAATATTTTCTTGCTATGCATAGGCATAGGGTATGATGGGTTGAATCGATGTATATTTGTGTAAGATTATACTCTTCTTTCGATTGAGTCTGCTTTTGTCAATAATAAAATATGATACATTTTATAAATAAAGCTTTTTCATATATATACGGTGTAATGTGCTATTGACAGTAGGAGTAATTTGGAGGAAATGCTAGTAGTTAGAAAACCAGGATGTCGCATCAATCTACGAAGTCATTGATACTTGGTTTTGTCAATGTGAAGAGATCTAGGTTTTCTAACGAAGTTCTTCTGAATAACCGTACCCATTCGTCACATACTTAAGTGATCAAAGCATAAATATATGTGGCTGAGAAGTCGAGAACAATTAATAAGCAACAATTATAAATACCTATATTTAGTGGTTGGTAGAAATAAGTTTTTTCATAGTTGAGATCATGAGTCAATTGAAGCTAGACCACCATGGAAAACCTGGAAACGACTGTTTCTTTCTATTATGTGACTCCTCTACAGTACGCATCCACGATCCCACACTCGCGAGATCCGAATCCAGGACCTACCAGTCTCGCACCAGATCACATGACCGATAGACCACTGAGCCGGCATCCAACGGTGTTAATGTTTAACTTCAACCAATCCACGATGTTTGAGCAATCGTTCAACCGTTCGTCTATCGGTTAAGTAATCTGGCGCGAGACTGGTAGGTCCTGGATTCGGATCTGGCGAATGTGGGATCGTGAATGCGTACTGCTGAGGAGTCCCAAAATAGAAAGAAACAACCGTTTCCAGGTTTTCTATGGTGGTCTAGCTTCAATTGACTCATGATTTTAACTATGAAAATACTGGAATCTCCACAAAAACATTTCTGATCAGAAATAAGTTTCACTGAAAGTTTCACTAAACATAAACATATGATCAGTGAATTAGTATAACAATAAGACAAAATTCATCCTTCAGATTAAAGCTTTAATTGTTAGCAAGCACAATCACAAGCTTTTATTAAGTCTCATGCAGTTAGTTCCCTTTATGAATTTAAATAAAGATAGAACAAATATTGATGCAGAATAATATGAATTCATTATATTTCGTGGTTTCTCATCAGCTGCTTACAACCAAATATGCACACCGTCGTCAATTTAGCTGCTGGGTAGGTCACTTTCAACGCGGAATTAAGTCTGTGGTTAATTATCCCAGCGATTTATATGAACTATCCAAATCTTATTCAACTATTACGTAGCCCACCCTAATTGTTTTCAACTACCTCTATAAATTATTCAATTATTACGTAACCCACCCTAATTGTTTTCAACTACCTTTAAAATAATCACATTTTTGATTTTATCTGTCTCTGAACTCCACTCAACTATTAAGCCTCCCTTTATTTCAATACCTAATAACCTCTGACCTTTCCTTGCCCATATATATAGTTATCATGGATGACTTTCGTTATTCCAATCCTTTACATTCAATTATGTCAATTGTTCCACATTATTTATTACTCTAATGCATATTTGGTTGTAAGCAGCTGATGAGAAACCACGAAATATAATGAATTCATATTATTCTGCATCAATATTTGTTCTATTTTTATTAAGTCACTTTCAGGGGATTACGACCAACTTCACAAAACATATATGTTATATTTCCCATTTGTAAGTAATGTTTATAAAATAAATATAACTATAAATTTGCATATCTAGGTGTTTCGTTTATGCATATTTTTCATTCAATAATACTGATCGATATCCAATTATTCCTGAGTTATATAAATTTAACTTTTCTTTTACAAATCTGTTTAGCTACAATGGTTAGTTCATTTCTATGGGCTGAAACATCAAATATTTTGGCAGCCATAACAAACGACAAACTTGTCATATGGTTCTATCCTGATATTACATTAACCAATAGTGATATAATTAACTTAACACAAGAAGAACATAACATAATGTAAGTTTTATTGAAGAAATTTCTAAAGTTCTTTGGTTGAATGAATGGAGACTGACTTTTTTTATTGATTGATTGAGCCTACTTTATTGAAATTCAGTAGTAAAAGTGGTAGTTCCTATATTCGAACTAATTGGTTGCTTCACCTAAGCTTTTTTTGAACCGATATATAATAGTAAATAATTCACTTAGTCAGTATATTTGTTCACTTAATGAACAACATGATGACATTTAAAACAGATGAATTCTGTTCCGAGCAAAAGAGATGTACGTCTAAATATTTTAAAGTGGTATGTATCAGTAATCGGATCAGGTGCTTCTTCATTGACTTACAATTTTCCATTCACCCACATAATTTTATAATTATTGGTACCATAATACTTACACATCCATTAAACACAACATAAGTGATCAGATACCATATTAAAAGGGTTATTAAATCCCACAGTTTGAAAACCATGAAGGATTAGATAGTTTCTATGTATGCCAGCAGTGTACATCCACAACATTAGAGGTAGAATGTAGGACCTTCAAGTCTCCTGATGAGCCCTTAAACTTTTTACCCCCCAAGTCAAAATCCAAGAGCTTGGATTCCTAACTGCAGTTGATTTACGATACGACCTATCCATCTTTTAATGGCATTAGTAGGTGGTTAACTGCCTCACAACCGACATATTTAGACTCATCTGGTCACGTCTTTTAACCAGAACTCCGAAAAGCACCTTTAAAAATTATTCACTAGTGAGTGTATGATGATTCTGTGGAGGATTAATTAGTTTTCATCAGTGTAAGCTTTCTTTCTTTTAAACGATTAGATGAATTTATATTATGTACATAAGTTTTTCCCTTATTGATATTCATGTACAGCAAATGTGAATATGTATCTGAAGCCTCATTTCATCACATTTAAATAATTTTAACAACATTGGGATGTGGATACATCCAACTGATGAGTTCTAATTTAAACGAAACACAAATCTTGGATTTCATTGTTAGCCATCATCTAACTCTGGTGAAAATTATATTTTGTTCCTTCATAGTATGCTAATTATTTATGACTGATTCATTGAAAATAAATTTGTGAAAGAACAAAGAATGTAGATTAGTAATTCGAACTTTGTTTAAGTTCAAAGTGCATAGTCCGTTTACAAGTATGCTCACAGTACTTTATTCTATCTATACAATATGACATATAATTTTTAGCGTATACAGACTAGTGAATTGATATGAATGTGAATTTAAATGAATTATGGATACTGTTCAATCTATAGTGAATTTAACTTTAGGATGATATTTCATTGAGTTACTCCCAAAACTGTGGAAGCAATGGACAAATAAGTCTTAAGTTTAACTCAGTAAGTCATGTCTGACGAGTGATTGTCAGGTTCTGGGTTCAATTCCTGGCATGAAATTATTCACTGGTGATCTCTGAATCAGGGATAGGGAGTGAAGTAGTCGAACGCGTCGACAACTTCACTTATCTTGGAAGTCTGATCAGCCCTAATGGGTTGGTGTCTGACGAAATCTCAGCACGGATTCGAAAAGCTCGTTTGGCTATTGCCAACTTACGTCACCTATGGTGAAGATGAGATATCCGTCTATCATTTAAAGGACGAGTATACTGCACAGCAGTTCTCTCTATTCTAATATACGGCCGTGAAACATGGCCATTAAGACTAGAAGATACTCGTAGGTTACTAGTATTTGACCACAGATGCCTTAGAAATATTGCTCGTGTCTGCTAGGATCACCGGGTAAGTAATAGTTAGGTTATACACAGGGTATTAGGGAATGATGGTAAATCAGTTGATGAGGTGATGAATCTTCATCGACTGAGATGGTTGGGCCACGTGTTACGTATGCCTAAACACCGATTACCACGACGCGCTATGCTGACTAGTGTAGGGTATGGTTGGAAGAGAGTTAGGGGCGGCCAAACAAAAACGTGGCATCAGTGCTTGAAGTCACAAACTTCTAGTCTAAGCAATGTTGGCAGATGCAGACCACCTGGTTGTAGTCGGCGTGACTATCGTAACCAATGGTTGGAGACTCTGTGTGACATGGCTCAAAATCAACCACGATGGCGCAGGTGTATACACTCTTTATCTTCCCTTAAACCTTGAGATTAAAATTGCTTCATATCTGTCTTTCTTCCTCTACTATATCGTTTTATACAACCTTTCTTTTATATACTACTACCACTAAATTAACTACTTTTATGAATTCGGTGTTCATCTTGTTGTGAAAAATCATTTTTGTTTATTATTTCGTTTATTAGTGATGATTATGGGAAACAATTGGAATTAATTAATTTTTATCGAGATCGAATCATGATTAAACGTGCTGATGGAAGTACTGTTTATTATCCGATTTCAATTTACCCTGATAAACTACATCAATTAATTAGTCAAAATAAATGGAATGAAGCACTTAAATTATGCTGGACAGTTAAGGTAAACTAATAGTTTATCAATGTGTTGCATTTGTATTTGTAATTTACCAAATGACATTGGGCGATCATCAAATAACAAGACTTTTATGGTTAATGGTCGTCAAGATCTTTTTAACCTAGTAGCCAATCAGAAGACGTAAATAGGAAGTAGATTAATTGTCTATTGTACTCAATTCAGTTGTGACTCAAAATGCATACAATACTATTTTGATGTGGGTTTGTTTTCTGAGCTGGATGGTTTGATCGTGGAGCTTTCATCGTCCTTCTGAACGACATCATCAGCACAAACTTCGGGTAGAAGCTGTCGTTCAGAAGAAAGATGAAAGCTCCACGACCAAACCATCCAGCTCAGAGAACAAACCCACATCAAAATCACCCACCTGAGCTACAGATCTTCTCCACCATACAATACTATACTTGAATTTCCTGATCATACATCACACCAAACAAGAAATTATACTTTAAACACAGTCCTACCATATGTGGTAAAGAGCGGAGCAAACAGTATAATGAATTTGTAATAATTAGGGAATGGTAACATATGTAACAAGAGTTGGTAGGTCCACTGAAAGTTTGAAATAAGTGGAATACAGAAATGCAACAGAATGGTTATTTACTACTTATACCGAAAGTTCCAAAATTTCCAATATTTGTCGCCTTATAAAAAACTACATTACTTTGATGTTTGCAGTGACTTTTCATTCACTTTTACTGCTGGTAAGGTTATCTACGAACAAAAAATCCACTTCAAGATCGATTTAAAGTGAAAACGAATTGCTTACTTATATATCAATGGCCTTACATTAAAATAGTTAGTCCCTTTGAAAAATTCATACAATGCAGTAGAAAGTTAAAGTTTGTCAGAAATACATGATATGTTAACGCAATACATTTTAAGCAATCTGTTACCGATCGACATGTGAGTGTGAACACATACAAGTAAGAATGAGTAATTGGTAAATACAGGCTAGATGGGTAAAAAAAGTATCAAAATATCTGGAAAAACAAAGATTATTCAATGATCTAATAACAGTAGATGACAAGCACCCGTCTTTTATCATTACTAAACACAGTTGAAATAGATCACTTAAATCGTCCTAATTCATTTTTTGTAGTTTTAATTCAAGTGCTAGTTATTTAAATTTTCACCTTTATGTTTAAGACTGCAGTTGACCAGTTTCTTTTTAGCATATTTACATCCTGAATAGAATGTCTTGATAGTGCTATTAAGTCACAAACATTTTTTAAAGCAGAGATGGATGGTGGCTAGCAGAGGAATTCAGGACGTGCGTTCCATCCTATTTGGTACTTGTCAGCTGTATGTACCTGCATCCCAGAATTGATGTTCAATCCGGGAAAATGAAGTTTAATTTTTTTCATATCATCATTTAAGTCTTAAATTAATATCGAAAGCTGTTTGGAAGTATTTTTAAGTTTGTTGATCGTCAGTCGTATTGTCATAGGTCAAAGTAAACACCTGTAGATTAAATGAATTTATTATATATACTTGAAATCATGAGTCAATTGAAGCTAGACCACCATGGAAAACCTGGAAGCACTGGACGGCCGTTTCGTCCTATTGTGGGACTCCTCAGCAGTGTGCATCCACGATCCCGCCTCGCGAGATCTGTAACTGTAACAAATATACTTTTATATAAAGTGATGTGTGGGTGAGAATGATAATGATTGGTTGTTTTGCTGAGTCAAACATTAGATAGGATGACAGGTGTTACATGTGTTATATATTTCCCCTCTCCTTATTATGTATTGACTGTTCCTTGTGTCGGATTTTGGTGTGGAAATATATTGACATCCTAGTCAGGCTAATCTCGTGTTCTTGATCTGAATTGTGTTGAAGGCCTGTAGAATAGACACTGGGTGAGGAATCTAGTGTAGATATTCGTCTAAGGTAAATTAACGTCCCACATACGTGTAAAAAGTAAAAGGACTGTTATAACAAGAAACCCTAGCGTTATAACTAGTATCCTACGTTTATAACATAAAGTTTTCAAGAGATGCTATGAAATTCAAAATATTATTGTTATTTATTATTTAAAAACACAACAGGAACGGATTCTTTGGGCATGTTTAGCTGGCTTAGCAACAAACGCTAAAATGTTGGATGTAGCAGAAATAGCATTTGCTGAAATTGAAGAAGTAAGTTTTTTCAAAGTGATAAGAGCACGAGATCATAATTATTCTATAAATTGATATTATTTAACTTGCTCGTTTTAACTAAATCATTTTGGATAATTTTTTTAAAACGCGTTTGTTAGGGATGCGATGTGATAAGCCTAGGAATTAAATGTCTTGACACTGAGTTTTTAACCGCTTTCTAGACCTCAGAGATATTTTACTCTTGAACACTGCACGGGAAAGTAATAGACAAAAAAATATGAAAGGCGCTCTGGATTCAATGCCAGCGTCCTTAAGATTTCAGAAGTTACTGCAAACATTTTGAAATCGCTAATGGGATCGATAATCATCATATAATCCGTCGTTTTCTCGAATTAATCCAGTGGTTTCTAGAGATCGCTGACTGGACCTGGTATTTTCAGCATTATCTGTGCCCTGTAAGACCTTCCTAGAAATTACATAGGATACCCCGTAGGATTAAGGACCGATACCACAAGCATTTGTTTATAAGTAACACTCAGTACAAGCAGATAACATGATCACATCAACAAGGAACGGATTTGAGAAATGTCAGCCAATTTCTTTTGACTGTGTTTCTGCTTCAAAGAATGATTTTTTATGTATACAGGAACCTAGAGCAGACAGAAATAATTGGTTAATAATTATTCACTTCTGATATTTATTCAGTAGAGAGATAATTTTTAGCTTTTAGATAATTAGGCTTTAGTCTTTGTAAGAATGTACAATTCTGTAATTTTTTGTTTGAGCTGTAAAACATTTAATGTTCAAGATCCGCATTTTCAATTTGTCAGACTAACATAAAGTAAATCAAGTATACTCAACTAATGGAGTTAAGTTATTACACCAGATTATGTATTTGTAGGTTACTAGCTAAAGCTTTGAGATAACCTATGATTAATCCTAATTATAATAGATTGACAGAAGTCTGTTAACACTTGTGGTATATACTACTTATGTCGATAGACATAAGTAGTATGTAACATCAATCTAAAGTTGAAAACTTGGCAACAGAAGGCTAAGAAAATCGAATGGAAGAGGATAGAAAGGGAGATAGAAAGAAATTTTGAATTGGGAAAATCATAAGTCGGTTGTTCCCATCTGATTTATCTTTCACTACACTTTACATAGAGCTCGATGGCTAATTATCATAACACTTCAAGAAAAATAAGAATCTTTCAGGCGATTAAAGAGAGAAAAGATTAGTTCAGGAAAAGTTTGATATTCCAAGAAGTCATGTTAATATTATGATAATAATCAATCTGTTTATGTAAGTAACATCTATGACTGCGGGATATGTAACAAAAGCGTCAAACTCAAAGTGAAGGTAACCAAACAGATAAAAATGTTGCAGAGGACTTCCTTGCTTATCAAAATTATAATTGACTAAAAAATAGGAACAAGATACCTTTTTTACTTTCCTAGTGTTATATCCGCATCTCTTGTTACTTATACATGTAAAAACGAAGAGCCACTGCAATTCCCATGACGCGAAGTAAGAACATCAAAAATGGTACAAGTAAAGATTTATTAGCATCAAAATACGACGCCGGTCTCAAGCCCGGGTAAAGGAGGAGGGTTAGGCATGGGGTAGAAAATAACCTTGCTAAAAAAACGCTAACCAGAGGAAATTTTTTATATACAATAAAACGAAATATCAAGTACTATGGACTATTATAACAATTCCCAGTAGATATAAGTTTATATAAATCAATATTAGCAAAGGTTTGAATTATTCCACTGTTGATACTCAAGATTGAAATTCGATCAGTTCTCGTTGACATATGCCCATCCTACATAAACAACTTCATTATACGTATTTTGTCAAAAGTTTTTACAAAATATATGAATACGAAAATCATCCTCACTGAACAAGTCGGTGATTTTCTCAACTCAGTAGCTCAATGGATAAAATGTTTAACATTTCAGGCCATAGGTACTCGATTTGTGTAGCGATATGAAATTCAATATTGAAGCTCAGATATATATCGCTGGTAATTCTCAAACAGAAAGAAATATTACTCTTAGCTTTAGCAAGTGTGGATAAAACTTTATTCTCCACTCTTTACACAGCATTACTTACCCAAATCTGTTGCGCCTTTATATATCAAAGGTCATCAACCACGTGTCTCAGATTTGTCAGGCCGTCTTATGGACTTTTTACCAAATTCGATTCGGGTTCTTGGTACCTGGGTACACCTTTCAATCCTACGTATTTGATAAGTCTAACTAAGTGAACGCTATACTCGGATCCTAAGCTAGTCTCTTAACCCTCAAATTAAAACTACTCAGCAGCTTGAACACGAGAGAAAAGGCGTAAAATATTCGAGAAGCACTTTACTCCAATGGTTCATTCATGTACAGAAAATATAGGGTGGACTGAGCCATGTTGGTAGGTGTAGACTACCTGGTTGGGATTCGCGAGATGATAGCAACCGATGGTTAGAGACCTTGAATGACATGGCTCAAAATCGTTTGCAATGGCTCAGGTGTATCCACTCTTTGTGTTCTCCCAAATTCTAATCTTCTGAATTATTTGTGTCCTTTTTCTCTTTCCAAATTTATTTCATTGGATTATATTCCTACAATAACATCTTCAAACCCTAATCTTTCACATAATACTTACATTCTTACTACTTCTACCACTATGGGATTTGAATCGACAACTGCATCTCTGTGCTAATGTGGTATGGCAACTCGAACTGATGTACGTACGTACGAAGTTCTACGTTGTAACTGACTGACTGACTTGTATTTAATTGTAAACAATAACCCGCGTGAACTTCTTATTTGACGGAGCTATTCATACATAATTTAACTATTGACCATTAGTAAATCTTTTTCTAATCATTAAAAAATTATTATTTAGGTTGATAAAGTGGAATATATTCGATATATCAAAAGTTTACCTACGACAGAAATGAGAAATGCTGAAATCTTACTTTTATCAGGTTAGAAGTGACTTATGACTGTATTTTTAAAATACTATCTATATGCTATTAATTATTTTTGGTAATGATTGTTTTTGACGAACGAGGTGATTGCTAAATCAAGATTAGGAAGTTTTCTCTGTTGGTGTTGTATCCCGTGGAGAATTATGAATGGTAACTTTGAGCACTATGTATGGACCAATGTGATATGTATATTTCCTACTGTATAATTGTTAAGTAACTTAACTATTCATATGCATGTTCTTTTTATTATAAGCTTTATTTTGACGTATGAACTATTATTATACGATTTACTACTCTTGAGTTATCCCTAGTTCATCAATTACTGTTCCCTGTATTCACAGCCATATTTGGCCAAATCTTGTACAAATGTTATTTTCTATTTGATGGTACCATGTGGTCAGTTTGTTTGGTATACAAACCCAGTATGTTTGAGAATAATGATTCATATTGCAGAGGCTGTTATTATGTTCTGGACTTAACTGGCTGGCCTAGGCAGAAAGCAGGACTGACAGGTACTCAAGACTGTTCATACGGCTTTTGTGTATCATTGGGCGATCAATAAATTCACTGTTCTCTGATTGGCGGGAATCAGCACGTTTATATATTAAACAAGGAACGCATGCACCCACACGATATAACTGTTAGATATTATCATTAAGTTAAACTGATATACACAAATAATAATATAAGTTGACAAGATAATCGTAATCTATAGGCTTGAAGGCCATTGAGTGATATGAATTACATTGAGATATATTCTCTTTGACGAATTTTATGTAGCGACCTTGATCATTTGTATTATCTTGAATGCATATTATGAATCAGTCTCAAGCAAGGATGACAAAGCTGTTAAACCTTCATGATTTTCACTAATACAACAAAATATTAAATTCCCTTGGTTTTGTTTACTTGTATCTTCCCATTGTTGCTTAGGTGTGCGATTGATCAGTCTCTTATTAGCATATGTAAATCCATCTTTTCTTATAAAGGTTGTGGCTTCAGGTAATATCGAGGCAGTCCGCACATGATGCACATATGCCAACAAGAGCCTGATCACTTGTAGTCTTAAATAACAATGAGAAGATACAAGTAAACAACACCAAGTGAATTTAAACTTCACCCAATTGCACAAGCAAGTGGCTATAAGGACTCAGTGGCTAAGTGGATAACATGATAACGGTACTTGGTTCGAGTCCCAGAGTGAATATCAACTCTGAGATGTAGGTACGTCCAGCTGACAAGTCCTAAATACGACGAAACGCGCGTTCTGGATTCTACTGTTAGTTACTATCCATCTTTGCTTATAAACAACATAATATTATTTTATTGAAATCATGACTGCATCATAAAATACTTGCACTGATTACAATAACTAAGATATCATGATACTATCTTATGAAAACAGTTACAGAGCAAAGGTAAGTATTTTGATCAATACATTTGCAATTTATACTGTATTTGTAATTTATCATTTTAAAGGTTTTCCTACGGTTATAACAAAAAAAAATAAGGATTTCATCGAGCATACACTTGACACTAGGCTCAATTGATCACGATATTTGATCACGTGTTACACTTAACTGGATTATGTGACCAATGATCATGAACCTGAATAAAGTAGAACGAAAGCTTATCAACACAATAAGTCAGTCGACCATTGTAATCTATTTTTCATGAAAGATCATCTCTTACATTTCGGTATGATCGGATATGTATGTGTTCGCTCTTTAAACAATCATGGCTCACTTTTATTTACCACCTAACTTGTAGTATCTCTTTTGAATTCATTTTTATCAATTTTTTTTATAGGTAAATATCAAGAGGCTGAAGCAATTCTGCTACAGAATCATTTATATTTTCGTGCTATCATGCTTAATTTGCATGCATTTAAATGGAATAGGTGAGTTATTAAATTATCTGATTTCTATTAGTTTTAGTAAAGAATAAAGGATAAGTTGGTGTGAAATTCATTAACAAGATTTTACGGCGAGACTATACTTTATGGACGACCTTTGAACGAATCCTAAATGACCTTGATAAATATTAGCCAATCAGAAGACAGTTAGTATACAGTAAAAATATATTACACAAAGCTAAAAAATTAAAGCGGATACTGTTCTTTTACATGGCTCAAAAACTTCTCCAGGTCAGATATAGGTTCAGAAGTTCTAAATTCATAGTGCACATGGTACAGGAACTCATGCATATGGCTTCATGGTAGTCGGGCTCTGGAGCCATCATAAGGTCTCAGAAATTCTTATTGTTGGTGGGTGTCGGTTCCTAACTCGTTGGAAATGTTAGGGTTTATGGTTAGGGTCTTAACCGTAATCGTGATTGAGCGAAAAGAAGTCATTTGAGTACCACAATCACAAGTATAGAGACTTCTTAATAATCCCTTTTCTTGTAGACGTTGAATTATCGTCTTCTCTAAAACCGCTGTAAACCGATCGTACGTAAGCATGAGGTACCGAACTCAGCGCCGTGACCTTGAAAACCCACGAAGGCTTCTGATTGGCTCGTCCATAAAATTTAGTCCCGCCGATTTTACTTACTAATTGTCACTTACTAGTAATATTACAGTGAAATAGAGAAATTTAGCTCTGATGCTTTGTGACCAAATTTAAAAATGTGTTGTGAATTATTATAAATGACAATGTTAGTTGATAGATTAAACGCTTTATGATGGTTTGTGGCCGAAGGTTAACTCCAAGTGAGATCGAATTATCGATACCAAATCTTTGAATGTAATTGATATCAAAGACACAACCAGAAGAATAGGTCTGATTTTTTTTTAATTATCATGGTATTATACAAGCTATTAGGTAAAAAGCAACAGTGATTTGACGACATAAGCAAGTTAATGTAACTTAGGAATCAAATATGATTTTTCATTTATACTAATATACGATAGTATTATGGCTTTATACTGGGCACTGAAAACGAGATAATTAGAACACTATACTATACTGGCAAATAATAGAGAACACAATAAACTAACAATAGGTTTTTTAACACAAATGCTGATATCCTATAATGAGTTCAGAGTGCGAATCCACAATAGAAAGGCGACGAGACTATAATTTATGGACGACCTTTGAGTGATACCGTTTTGTCTCTGAGATACTTCAACCACTTACTGCGGTCGAAATAAATTAGTTTGAAGAATCGCGACTAGGAGTTAGAATTATAAGTTGGGATTAGGAATTAGGGTTTTCATCACGAAACGATATCAGATATTATGTAAATTTAGGGTGACGATAAACTCTACTCTCGCTAGCAATAGTGACCCTGCACTTGAATACCAACAAAAATGAAGTGGGACTTTTTACTTGCACGTTTGTAATCCATGATGGAGGGCATGTTTCGTTCTGTCATTTTTGCTGGCTTTCATTAAAAATGTATTATTTTCTACGGTGAGAATACTATTCCATCATCCTACGGACTTGTAAAGCGTAACGCAATCAGTCATGATGGGAAATAAATTGCAATATAGCAAAAGCCACACCTCTAATTAATTCTATAATATAAATTATTACAGAATATCTATAACTGAGTAAGTAAATATGCGAAAAAAAAGACTATTTACTATGTTACAATCAAAAAACTTGTCAACGTGGAGTTCATCCGTAACCCTATGGATAAATAGACTTTACACTAAAATCCAAGAGCCATAATCTTAGATCTGATTCGTTCGTGCATAAATCGTAGTTTCTCCGAAAGGTATTCATGATACTATTACTGTTTTAACACTTAGCAAAGATGTGTCTGTCCACAATCACACATCATATCATTGTAAACCTCTCATCCGCCAATGAAATTATTATATGACTGGTAAACACCTCGTCATATCAAGTTGATATTACAGATATCTCATTTCAGTAAACCTGAATAATCCATGCGCTTTACTGTATAACGTTTTAATTTTCCTCCTGATAATTTTAAATCATAGAAATTATTAATCACATCGAAGGATTTGTGTGTTTAGAGTCAAGATTTAACTCTACTTTTATTAATTCACGATATTGCGTGACCGTCCATCATTGTTGTCAGTGAGTAACTGCCTCACAATCGATAAAGTATTCCATGTTAAGTAGTTTACTTGTTTTGTCTTTGGTCACTCTTAAACTCTATTCTCAACGGTACAGGAATTCGTTTTCAGATAATTCAATCCAACATCTGTCTAAATCCATAAGAAGATTATTATTTATTTATACACATAAATATTGGTACAAGAAAGCACCAGATATATATGCGCCACACAAATCTCGTTCGATTTGTGTGAAGGCTGTGATACTGCCCAGGTGCCCAAACTGAACCAGGTGGTTTCCTTAGGGGGCCACACCCGGAGCCTTTGACCTAAATGTCTGATCCACAAGGCAGTGGGGCGACGTGAGGAGATGTATTCCCATGGTAGCCGGTGATCAACGATTGATTTATACGCCATTTGTTCCCTCAGGATACTGGAGCTCATGTGCACCATTGGTTTAGAATCAGGGTTTTCCAACTCCCCTAGGTGGACCCTCCACATCCACCAACCTGGTTAAAGCGCCGGACATTCGCTTTTCATCCTCTCAGTTTGGTAAACAACACCCCCGCCACTAGAAGACAGTGAGTAGAACTTCCCTGACAGAGGCTGTATACGCGTGGCCATATGAGAGCATTTTGAGAGGTAGAGAGTACTCTCCCCACTGTCAGCCATACCCGGGCATTTTGGGCGCCTTTTACTGTTTAAATATAAAATCTGTTAGTAACTGTTGAATTCATTTATTGCCTAAACATAATAAGTGATTTCTTTGGTAAAACTAAATTGATAATCTATATCAGAACTTTCGTCTAAATTAGAGCGATTGTTTTCACAATATTTGGGCGTCGAGTTGATGTAAGACATTAAATAGGAATAATATATTTGTAAAATCTCAGTGAATGAATTTGAAGTAAATCCAACGTTTCACGTAGCAATCTGGTCCAAGCTTTTTCAAGGAATCATAATCAAACATCAAAATTATCGAATATAAATAGGTACATTGTTCTCCGGTTCATTGTATACTGAATAAATCATCCAATCAGCGTTAAAAATGTCTAAACTAGGTATGTGTAAGAGATGTGTGATGTCAAATGATAAGTGTGTTAAGATAACATATTGTATATATACGTAAGTGGTGAAAACAAACAATTTTTAATATATGATATAAATCATAAATGTCACGGCACTGGACGTCCAGTTCTTCCAGGTTTTCCATGGTGGTCTAGCTTCAATTGACTCATGATTTCAACTATATATAAAAATTACTTAAAATCTCCACAAAAAACTCTCTTCCAATTTGTTATATCGTGTGAGTGCGTGCGTGCGCTCCTTGTTTGATATATGAAAGTGCTGATTCCCGCCAATGAGAGGAGAGCGAATTATCGATCGGAGCAATGATACACAAAAGCCGTATGAACAGTCTTGAGTACTTGTCAGTCCTGCTTTCTGCCTAGGCCAGCCAGTTAAGTCCAGAACATAATAACAGCCTCTACAATATGAATCATTATTCACAAACATACTGGGTTTGTATACCAAACAAACTGACCACATGGTACCATCAAATAGAAAATAACATTTGTACAAGATTTGGCCAAATATGGCTGTGAATACAGGGAACAGTAATTGATGAACTAGGGATAACTCAAGAGTAGTAAATCGTATAATAATAGTTCATACGTCAAAATAAAGCTTATAATAAAAAGAACATGCATATGAATAGTTAAGTTACTTAACAATTATACAGTAGGAAATATACATATCACATTGGTCCATACATAGTGCTCAAAGTTACCATTCATAATTCTCCACGGGATACAACACAGTTGATTGTTGAACGAATTCCCATAAGACAACTGATTAGAATCATTGAATGTAATTGTCACTCAAATAATACGTGATAGATAAAACGGAAATGAGTTCATGCTTTTTTAATTATTAATGATTAGCTGTCATGGAACAGCTAATTGTATTCCATCCTTCCTATTAATACTGTCTGGATTAGCCCATATGTATAGTGCTTCGTCTGTTTGTCTCTCCTTGTAAGAATTGAAACGTTGGATTTACTTCAAATTCATTCGCTGAGATTTTGCAAATATATTATTCCTATTTAAATTGATAATCATTATTATTGGTTTGATATTAGTCCCATTTAATCTCTATGTATTATCTATCATCGATAACTAATGTGCTTATTTCAATGTTGGCTTCTTTTGATTCTATTCCCTCACCTATTCATTCACTTATAGAGCACTTGAATTGGCAAATAAATACAATTTAGCCATTGATATTGTATTATCAATGCGACATGATTATTTAAAACAATTAAATCGTGTTGAAGAATTAGATTCCTTTAATACACAACCAAAACAAGTAAGTCGAATATTACAATTAATGATTTTTGTACTTAGTTTGGATATAGTAGTGAATTCTTGAGGAGTTTCTCTCTTCAGAGGTTCTTTTTTAACAATAGTTAACAGTCAGATTTTTAATACAGTTCTACTTTGGTAGACTTTTGGTCTCAATATAATAAGTATGGTATTGTAGTGGTAGTTTACTTCTTCTGCAATATGTGCATTAAGCTTACTCCTTTATGACCAACTGCTGTGCAGATATATCAATCCTAACTTCATAAGCACTCAGTGATAACAGCTGTAACAAAAACACAGATCCAAGTCATAGGAGTTAAGCTAATGATCACAAGATTGTAGATATGTCTTGCTGAAAAGTGTTAACTAGATTAGAATAAAACAATCAGAGGAGCCGAGTCTGTTCTTTATCCTTGTGTTTTGACTGACCACGTGAACCAACAGGTGTTGATATTTCTGATCGTTATTGGTCATTTGTGCTGCCGATTGTGGTGGTGATTGGTTTTATTAGGATAGAGAGAGCTCATCATTAGTGGATACTATAATCAAGTGGGCAATTGAAAGTTCGAAGGTTATAACAAGTAAAGACTGAATAATATGACATATATCGGTCAGTTGGAGTAAATTTCTCATTCTAAAATTAAAAGATACACGTTTATTGACTACTCGCTTTTGATTAGATGAAGTGGGTTTCTTTCGTACGTGGGGATTATCCACTGCAACCATTGTTATAGAGTAGTGAACTAGTTATGATTCTTAGTATTTTTCATTTCTGAAATTTTAAAAGTATATAAACTAAGCACTGGATAGCAGAGATGGATAGTGGCTAGCAGTGGAATCCAGGACGCGCGTTTCGTCCTGTTTGGGGCTCGTCAGCTGGATGTACCTGCATCTCAAAGTTGATGTTCACTCTGGGATTCGAACCCAGTACCCTCGCTTCAAACGCCATCGCGTTATCCACTCGGCCACTGAGTCCTGATAGGTATGATCAATCAGATAGATCACTTCAGGGTGGAACAATAAGAGGTGTTGATGTGTGCACGCTATTGATCACGACTCAGCTAAACTATCGGAGTTAAACGGACGTATGTCAATAGTTGAAAATCTGGTTAAATTTTCCGGGGAATATATGTCTGCATTAATGAATGAGTTTTTGCATTTATTTTGGTTCCGCTTAACCAATAAAAGTTTCCTACTAACTCTTGGGAGGTTGAGGTTAAGTTCACGTATAGGGAAGGCGTATATCAGTGTAAGAAATCGGACGACCACCCCAACACAACAGAACTAACATTTGGCTACTATATAACTTTTGTTCAATCAATTGTATTTTAAATAGTAATGAAGAAATATTTCTTTTTTAAGAGTACATTGGATTCATCGGAATTGAAAGAAAGAATTGAAGAGGAATATTTAAACGAGAAGAAACAACTCCAAGAATTATCAACCACTTGAAAAATACATCAAACATTGTATGAGAATGTATATGAACTGCTTATTTTTCAAAGAAAGTGTTTACCCTTATGATTTACTATTAACAATAACGATCGAAATTCGATAATTGTTGATCAATTATGCTGTGATTTCACATTTTTGAAGTTAATTATCTGTATTTACTAACGTAGTTTTTGTTTGAGATTTGCTATGGTCCGGTTTTGATTGTTGGATTATTGATCACCACAGAAGTAGATTACTATTGCAGAAACCTAGTTAGATATCTACAGCTGCCATTCGGTCCGCTCTAGATACCTTGACTGATATAAAGGAGGGAACCAGTAGTTCATTACTGTGCAGGAGAGTCACTTATGACAAAAACATTCACCTGAACGATGATTACTTTACCTATGTCAATAAAAAGAAAAGATGTCTAGTCGAGTAGCAGTTCCAGCTTTTCTTCACTCGGCTGTCCTTTAACAATTTCACTCTGTACATTATAATAAGTTTTCAACTTTGATCAAAGTCAAGAGGTAACATCAGTGTCCAATAGTAGCTGGAGATAAACGACTAAAAGTTAGCAAAAAAGTTACTGAACAAAGCTTTAAGGCATTATTGCATCATTCTAATCGTTTTATCAGAGTGAACCACTGGAGAATTCTTTCTTGACAGTTTTACAAAGTCTAAACAACTACTTTATGGTCTCCTCTTATTCCTACTTTTAAACTACCCAAAACGATCCCATTGAATTCTTATCAATCTACGTGTTGACTACTTCCTTTATTGATATCAGGGACCGACCTAAGTTAGAAATTCATTGAAAACCAGAAAGCACTGGAGAGCCGTTTCGTCTCAGTAAAGGATTCCTTAGAAGCATCCACAGTCGGATCCAGGACTTTCGATTTTGTGTTTGAACAATCGACCTCTAGACCACTGAGACGGAAAACACTGATGAATATGTCTGACTTCAATCTATTCACGACATTAGACGACCGTCTTACACTATTTAAGGTGGGTAACTGTCTTACAACAGATACATTTGAGTGGCCCATTATGAATTTTTTTTAAAAGAATTTCGAATAACAACTAGCCGATTCTTTTTAAATCATGTTAATAAACAAGCTTGAATTAGATGAAAAAATTTATTCTATACAGTCAACATAATAAAAACAGTAAGACATTACTAAACATAGAAAAAACTAATTAGTATCTGTCATTTCCACAGAATTGTCAGCGTTCGCTTCATCTGTGTTGATGGTAGGAGAAGCAGTAGGAGTATCGATAGCAACGCCAGCGGTGTCATCATTATCAATCAACATAAGATTGGGAGTATGATCTAATCCTTGACTGGTATCCATAACATCACCATTATGATTATTTTCAGTAGTAACCGACTCCGGCTGTTGTTGTTCTTGAGGTAATTCATTTAAACCTGTGCATGAAACGGATAAACTAGTTGATGAATCATTGCTGATAGCAATATCTTTTGAGCCAACAGTAGTAGTAGTAGTAGCAGTAGTACCAGTAGTCGCTACTGTTATCGTTTTATTCTGTGCGTGTTGTTGTTTTTGTAATTGAGTCATTAAATATTGCAATTTTTGATCGTATAATTCACGAACATAATTGCTCATCTGTGGCATATCTTTAATGATCAAAGGCGGTTGATTAAGATTATGATCAGTTTGTAGACGATGTTGTTCTTTCAATACTGTTGGACTACGAGGATCCTAGGTTATTTTGTTTTAGAAGAAAACAAGTTAATTAGTTTAAAATTGTATTGCAAAGGATATATACGTATGAATAGAAGATTCGCTTACTGAAAAGTTAGCACTAGATATTTCACCTGTGAAAGAGTGAGTATTACTGAAGTTAAACATATGATATTAGGTAAATATGAAGAATTGTTTGTAGTAGTGAGTCTTTATCGACTGAATTAGTTGGGATATGTTATACATGTGACCAATTACCGTCTACTTTGGCTGATGTAGAAGAAGATTAAAAGAAAACTAGGGGAAATCAAATGAGAACGTAACATCAGTTCAGGAAGCCATTGACTATTGGATTGAGTCAGGCTAGTATGGGGAAAAAACCTTGCCGAAGTTCATACGATTATCGTAAGCAGTTAATGGAGATGTTGAGTGACACTATTTCGGGATCGGATGCATTAACGCAGATGCATTTACTCTATATTTCCATTAAATCCTCAGTTCCAAAATTTTTTTATTCAACAAGTTCATTTATTTTTTCTCGACTTATGTCATTTAGACCTTGTCCTTTCGGATACTGTTAAAAACTAAACTATTCTGGTATTTGCCTTGATAAATTCGTCTCTCTGTGCAAATATGGTAAGAGTGTAAGAGTAACTGACCAACCACGTGTAAGTAAACTACATAACTATCAGGATATTTGCGCAAGAGGGTGTGGTGAATCATGTGATTTATTGTAATTGTTGAACATACAAATAGATTCAGTCACATCTGACTAACCATTTTTTTTGTCCCCGTTTGGCTCCAGTATAATCGAACAATAACGATGTTAATAGGATATATATAGTACACTTATCTTCGTATTTATACTACCTACTCAACACCTTTAGAAAATTATGTATTAAAAATAGAAATACCAGTGTTTTGGACGGCTATACATTCGTTTATGCAGGGGGACAGTAAGAGATAGATCGATAACTACTGATCTGATCAGTATTATATACTATGTTCATGGATATGTGACGAGAACTACGTTATTTAACTATGAGTAGTAGCGAAACATCACTGAAATAAACATGATATAACGGCAGAAATTAAATGTTTTGCTTTCCATACATTACACTACTACTATACGATTTTACGACTGGCAATCGAAATTATACTACAACCGCATTGGCTACTTGATCGATAAGACATAAACAGACTGGATCACGTTATACCACATATCCGATTCCAGAGAGACACTTTATTCAACGCAATTGTAAGAAGTCATATGTGTTAGGAGTTGGTTAGAACCAATCGGTAGGAATCTATGAACTTCAGCTTCGTGCTAGATAGTACTCGTCAGTATGACTAGATCCAACTATAGTGAACGCGATGCCGACTCATTTAGACTAATGGTCACATTGAAGCTTGATCTTGGTTTGTATTCTAGCATTATTGATGCTAATCTTTGAAAATGATTCATCATTGTTGACACATGTGCATCCTAAGTGTTTTGAGGTGATATTTAAACCTAAGAAACCCACTAACAAACAAGATGTATTCTGACATTCCAGCGTGTCTTAGAAACTGAGTAGATTACTGTACAAATGCTCCACTAGTGTATTAAATCAATCGATTGCGAGCTTAAATGAGTGAAACAGATAAACAGAAAAAATATTAAAGTTGAATTAATCCATGTTATAAATTGAAAATCGAGAACTTTAAGTCGATTAAGTCTTAAATAGTATAAGTAACTAACATAACAAAACAAAATAACTTCATTGGTAATGTTGAGAAAATTTCATATATAAAAGGTAAGAACAAATTAAGTCTTGATTACGGTGATAACAAAGAGTTAGATGCTGCTCAGTTAACACATGAACTCAATAGCGTACAGAATGAGATCATCCATGTATCTCATGCACAGAGTTACCTCACTAATTAGACCATTTATCATATTTTCAACATACGACATATATATATATCAGCTAAGAGAGAAATGGAGTTTTCCAATACATAATAAAAGTAATTCTTTCAATAATGTTGACATATTCCGCTATTGAACTAATTGTGATCGACAAGGCAAAACTCATGATTCCAAACAGGCCTAGACATTGCATAAGCAATTACGTCACACCCCATTTCGATTACTAATCCACATGTTTGTGTGGATACACATACGTAAGGAAGAGTAATCGAACAATACAAACAAGGGTTATGGAATATCTGCCAATATGATTTCAAAACCATTTTGTATCAAATGCTCTAATAAACGAGTATTAGAAAACCACGTTCATCGATAGCAAAACATATAATTGAAACGGGGCATCAAAGTGACATCAATACAACATTTGAAACGTTGCATAGAAATTGTTAAGGACCAATTCTTAGATTAACAAAAGCCTTCGCTATACGTAAATTCAAGCTCCTTTTATGTGTACAGGAAAAATTTGTCGCAACCTTGTATTTGCTCTGGTAATCTAGATGATTTCATGGCCTAGGGTAGAGTGACAATTTCTTATTCTGTCCATATAATACTGATTTTTTCTCTTTTTTTACCAATAAATATGATCAGAAGGGTTTTTGTGGAGATTTAGTATTTTCATAGTTGAAAGCGTGAGTCAGTTGAAGCTAGACCACCGGGGAAAATCTGGAAGCACTGGACGGCTGTTTCGTCCTATTGTGAGACTCCTCAGCAGTGCGCATCCACGACTCCGCCTCGCGAGACTCGAACCCAGGACCTACCAGTCTCGCGCCAGAGCACTTAACGTTTATTTGAATATATTAATATTATTATAACCGTAACTACGACTCAACAATTCCTACTTCGTATTAAATTGTTTTACATATGATTTCATCCTATTCATTAGAATTCATCATCTTAATGCATATAATTTGTTCTAAACCTTCATGTATGATCTTTTCCTAACATTACCGTTAATGGTACTTTGTTTAGTGAGTAATTTCAACTATTTAATATTCAATTGCGTGAAGTTTGTCGTTTCTTGGATTAATAAGTATAGAGACTGATGAACAAGTTATCGAAAACGACCTAGTACTCTGTTGTTAAACAGATAATAGCTTTACGTCTTAGTTTTACAGAGTTAATGGAAGATCATGAATTGTTTGAAAAGTTTCGCCTATTTTTAAAAACGAAGTTACTCGATATGACAGAAGTAATTATCAGTGTATATATTCACAAAAAGAACTTACAATCCATACTTCCCATGGCGTTAGATGTAGTTCAGTCGGTTTCATCTGTCTACTTTCTTCAGACGTACGGTTTAAAAGTAAATCAAAAGCAGGTTTTAATTCTGGACAACTGGCAAATTGTTCAATCCTAGCAAATATATACAATCCAAGCCTAGCACGTGATAGAGCAACAATTAAACGGCGAACATCACGTAAATGACCAACAGTACGTGTACGTACTAATGAAACTAGTACGTAATCGTTTTGTTGACCCTAGATAATAATAATAATAAACCATTGTCAGTTATTAGTTCGGACGAGGTGAAGAAAATAAATTAACTCTAAGTAAAAAGCAAAATTCTACTTAATTACTTACTTGACTAGGTGAACCACCATCGAATGAGATAGTCAGGATACGTAATTAAATATGTCAATCCACCGACTACCTTAATGAGCGATGATGGCAGGTGTAGGACTAGATAGATAGAAAGCTAGAGGGTGGTCAAACCAAGATGTGACACCAGTCCATAAATACCCTAATTGTTGGACTGAGCCATGTAGATAGATGCAGACTACCTGGTTGAGGTTCGCGTGATCATTATGCACAATGGTTAGAGATTTTGGGTGAGGTGGCCTTAAGTTGTTTACAACGGTGCAAAAAGATTTACTCTGTCTTTTATTAAATCTTGAGTTTTCAAATAACTTTGTTTATTACACTATCGAAATTTATCAAAGGGACCAATTACTTTGAACTATGTTTATTCCATAAATCAAGATTTTCTTGTCGAATAGTGTCTTCGATGCCTGATTTTTCTATTACCACTAATACTGTTACTTTCTCTACTACTCTGCGATTCAGTCGGACAACTTCATCTCATTATGCTAATGGGATGTGGCAGCGTGAACCGATATATACATACGCCAGATTCTCAGTCAGTCACAACGAAGAACTTCGTACGTACGTACATCATTTCGAGTTGCCATACCACATTAGCACAGAGATGAAGTTGTCGATTCAAATCCCATAGTGGTAGAAGTAGTAAGAGTATAAGCAGTAATCGGAAAGATTAGGGTTTGAAGATGTTATTGAAGGAGTATAATACAGTGAAATAAATTTGAAAAGAGAATGAATTCACCTTCGCCATTGCAAACGATTTTGAGCAATGTCATTCAGGGTCTCTAACAATCGGTTGATATAATCTCGCACATCCCAACCAGGTAGTCTACACCTACCAACATGGCTCAGTCCACTTGTCAGTGACGTCATGGATTTGTGCCATGTTTTGATCAGGCCGCTCCTATCTTACTTCTAACCTACTCCTACATCATAAAACATCGCAATTCGGGGCAGTCGGTGGTTGGGCATACGTACAACTGACTGAAGACGTCTATTACTAATGATGAATTGCAAGTGAGTGACCATTTTAATTTTGATCAAAAACTAGCCGATTCCTAATGCGAATAAAAGATTAGGATGACAATGAGCGTGTTGATACATTCAATGGAATGTGATTTATCGTAATCTTGTATTCACTGACTGTTATAAACATGTGAACCTGAGTTATTTACCAAGTGTACATGTTTATTTACTCGGCTTTAAACTACACTTTGCATGAAAACTAGTAATTCTGTATCCTCCTACACAGAGTATATATTGCAGGGTTAGAACACGAGGCCTAATAGTTAAAAGCCAAGTGTTTGAACTAATAAACCAATATATGTGAGAAAACGCATGTCTAGTGTTAAATAATACTTCTTCAAACAATGTCAATCTATAAAGACTAATTATTAAAATAGTAGAAAAAGACTACAAACAAAATAAATGTAGCCTTGTAGGGAAAAAAATCTGACAGCTATTTACTAGTACAAATAATATATATCTTGGTTGCTTTAAATTAAATACACAAACATGTTGAGGTTATTTTATTTATTTATTTAAACACATAAATATTGGTACAAAGGGGTACCAGATATATATGCGCCGCACAAATCTCACTCGCCCGGGTGCCCAAACCGCGAAGCAGGTGGTTTTCTTAGGGGGTTACAACCGGAGCCTTTGACCTAAAGGTCGGATACACAAGACAGTGGAGCGAAGTCAGGAGATTCAGTCCCGTGGTAGCCTGTGACTAACGCCATTTGTTAACTCAGGATACTGGATCCCATCTACACGATTGGTTTGAAATCAGGGTTTCGCAACTCCCCTTGGTGGATTCTCCACATCCACCGGCCCAAGTAAAGCGCCGGATAATTCGCTTTGTCTTCTCAATTCCGTAAACAACAGTAATGCCCCCAGAAGGCAGTGAGTAGGACTTCCCAGGCAGAGGCTATATACGTGTGGCCGTGTGAGAGCATTTTGAGAGGGAGAGCGGTCTCTCCCAACTCTCGGCCGTACCAGGGCATTTGGGGGCGTTCTGATCAATGTATTTAACTATGAATAGTAATTAGTCATAGATCTTTATGTAAGTAATAATCAATCAACATGTAGAGCGTTCGAATGATCCTTTATCTGTTTAGGTAATCATATACGAAAATATTTTAAAAATACCAAATGAAAACTTAAACACTTATGGAAAAATAGACTCATATATATTTATCAGGATGATTAGTATGGTTTTCTTTCAAGGTGTTTCCAAATAGCTTTAAATGGTAACTTATTTTGAAGTAAGCGATTGGTGAGAATATGAGGAAACTAAAGATGCTTTATGATGTTCTCTGAATTTAATGACACTTCAACTGATGTCAGTCTGCAATGAATAGGAACTATCTATGGAATTAAACTGGTGGTTACAAAACATCTCAACCAGAAGTAAGTTATGTTAAGGATTGAAAAAATCAACACTTGGAAGAAAACACACACATAAGTGTAACAATCTACTTTTGGAAAACACTTTCAAGTTGACTTACTTGGAAACGATCTACAGTGGTTACTTTACTTGGATTTCCTAATAAAGGATTTTGTGCACAACGAGCAGCTATAACATCACGAATCAAATGTTTTTGACCATTGTAAGTAGTGAGTATCGTGATTTTTTCAGCTGGATAACCTAATATACGCATATACATGTAGACTGCAACAACGTATTCAGCTTCTGCTAAATTTTGATAGAAGAATGGACTGGGTTCAGATTCACCGATACCTGTATAAGGATCATTGAAAAAAAAAACATGATGGTGAGACTTCAAATGTGTCAATGTTGATATTATAGAGAATAATTGTCAAACTTGCCTACAGGTTAATAATTTATACTTTAAGTGTTTTTACAAGATTATATTACAAGTTATTTACGTCATATATTGTAAATGATACTTCACTGCGCTCTTCTAAAAAGTATGCACCTTGATTATGAGTATTAGGGTTGTGGAGATTGTTGAACTTTATCGAAATGGTTATTCAACTTAGATCAGTTAATGGACTCAATAAATTAATTACTTCCAATAAAATCTTTGTAAATCAGTACCTTAAGAAACAATCAAACAAATTTATGGCGTCAGATCTGTCACAGTAACTTTTATTATTTGAAGCACTCTGTTTTCCTATTCTTCCCTCTAGTTGTCGATAATTATAGGTATTATGTAACAAGACAGGAATCGACCTTTCTTAGACTGCTTATTTCTAGATAGCATGTTCCAGTCCTCCAACTAAGAAAATGTTTCTTAACTAATGAGTCCTATACAACACTTACCATTTCAAAACCGTTGACGACGTTGTAGCTATGTCACTTTCTCGGTGCACACATGCTATGCTGTTTACTAAAACAGTTACTCTGTCTTTATAAGACCGACAACTATCACGGATGTACCCCAGATGCTCTGGTACGGCCGAGGATGGGAAGAGTTAGCTCTCCTCGAAATGCTCTCATATACCCACGTGTATACAGCCACTGTCAAGGAAGTCCTACTCACTGCCTTCTCGCGGCATTACTGTTGTTGGAAAACCCTGATTTCGAACTAATGGTGCACATGGGTTCCAGGATCCTATGGGAACAAATGACGTATGAATCAATCGTTGATCACCGGCTACCATGGGACTGCATCTCCTCACGATGCTCCACTGCCTTGTGGATTAGACCTTTAGGTCGAAGGCTCCGGGTGTGGCTCACTATGAAAACCACCTGCTTCAGTTTGGGCACCTGGGCAGTATCACAGTTCACACACAAATCAAGCGAGATTTGTGAGGCGCATATGTATTCGGTGCTACTTTGTACCAATATTTATATGTTCAAATAAATAAATAAATAAATTTGATAACAATGCTGTATTCTGAACTGCTATCAATAATGGTCATGAATTTTCTCTTTGGATTAGAATATATTTCACACTATTAAAATTTTTGTGATAAGCCTTCCATGGAAGCAACTTATGAATTTCGTCTATTCATCGAATGTGGACATATTTTCTTAAAATATTGCATTTCTTTTTGAACCAATCTGATCGGGCGTGCAACTTAAATGTACAGAATATATAATATTATAATAACAGTTTGAAGATTCAGGTCTATACAGTAATAAATGATTAAAGTAGGAATTTTTACACTTATAATCTCTTAATTCATGAGAATAGACAGAGTTCAGATGATGATTGACTGAAAATTTTACTGCTTAAAAACTACGACTGTTGAAATTGATTGAACTAAAAGTTTGTAATATGAATCTTTTTCGAAACAACTAAATAATTTGACAAAATATGAATGATTAAGAGACTGTGCTCCACTTAGATAAAGTCTAGTTTATAGATAGTCTATGTAAAATCGAGAGTACCTGACGTTTAACGTATAATTAAAAAAGATTGTTGAAGTAGAATACATGGATTGTAGCTAATAGTAGGATCCAGAACACGCGTTTCTATCGATCTGGGATTTGTCAGCTAGACAAACTTGGATTCTAGTAATGATAATCACACAAACTTGAAATAAGCACCTTTTCAAACGCAAAAGTAGTATCTACTGAATCATTATTCTACGTTAGCCACAAGCTTATTCAATGCGTATGATATTTATGTTATTTTTATTATTAAACGTACTAGGTTGGAGTCTCAGTGTAATAATCAACACTAGGGTGGATATTCCATTTGTTCTAAAAAGCTTGTGAGAAAATCTCTGGATATAAATGAGACACAAAGGTTGATTAAAATCCAGTCACGAAATATCATAACAGGATAACTCAAATCCTTATTAACAATCATATAAATAAACTAACCTTTATAATCTTCAACATTTATTAACTGTACATCATATCTAAAGCCTGGATTAGCCAAACGATATTGTACTTCATTCAATGTATGCGGTAAATCAGTTAATCGATCATATCGCCAACTATATAAACGTGAAAGTGATGGTCTAGCACGACCTTGTGCATCTAATTGTACAGTTGGTACACCAAGTTTCACTAAACGTGCAAATAATGATTGACCCATATTGGAATAATTATTAAATGCTTGATTTTTAACAACTGGCGGTAATTGATGATGATCACCAATCATAATCCAACGTTTTAATCGATTTCTACCAGATATATCAGGATTTTGTAAAAGTAATGGAATAAATGTTTCAATTTCTAATATTTGTGCTGCTTCTTCCATTAGAATTGTATCATATGTAAATCCTAGTTGAACTAAATCTCTTCGACGTAATGCAGCATGTGTACATGTCATTGCAATAATTTTTGCTTCTTGGATTAAAAGATAATTGGCACGTTCCGTACCGGTACGCATTAATTCAAAAGCACGAAATTCATCTAGTTGAGTAAATATAGAATGAAGATAACGAAAATAGGCATGTGCTAAAGCAACATCTTCCAAGAGATTTTGACCCTATCAGAAAAAGAGAACATAAAATCAATCAAATCATTATTCAAACGTAGCTATTTTGTTTAAAGCACGAGATGTATAAATAAAACATAATAAATATCTCTTCATCAAGATTAATAAAGAAAAACCAAAGACAAGATCCATTCTGTAGTTAATAAAACACCGATTTTTATTTGTCTTAACTTCAAAGATGATAATTTGGCAGAGACAATCGACAGAAGACTTAATACTGAATTAGCTGAAACCTGCCTTGCAGCCAAACTATTGGTACTATATGAAACATGTTTATTAACTCAATTAAAGGTTGACGAGTATCCTTTTTCAGTGTTTATAAATATTTATGTAGGTACTTAGCAAAGAAACTGGTCAAACAGAACGGAGAGTTTACTCCAAACTTTTTGAACGTTTTCCAAAAATCTCTCAATCAAGAGGGAGGAATATTTTGAATTTGCTCAAGTTATTGTTATCAGGCGTTAGAAACCCGACGAGCGTGTTCGAAACGAAACTGTTGCTAACCTTTTTCTGATATTGCAGAATGAACATTATTTCGTTCACTTATTTAATTCTTTTAAGTTCTTTTCATGGATTCGTTATTATACCATAATTTTAGACTCTGTTCTAGTTTGATGGTTTTAACTGTTCAACTAAATAAGCTTTTCACATTTTATTCTTACTTATCGTTTACAGTACGTTCAATACGTACCCACTTGTTTCTGACCCTTCGGTTTATTTTTTTACCAATGTTGTAGAATGTTCACTTACATATGATACACATATTGATATTATGAACCGATCAATGTTAGACCATTGAAAACCTGGAAGCACTGAACGGCCGTTTCATTCTAGTACGGAACACATCAGCCCTGGGCACCCACTACTCTGCACTCCGAACTCGAACCCAGGACATTCGGTCTCGCACGAACACCTAACAACTAAACCATTGAGAGAGCACATCTAACTATTGTATTCAATCCTTACCCCGTTATATCAACCAAGTAAAAAACAAGTCCAGTCTATTTGTGTTTATTTTCAAATAACAACAAAAAATAATTAACTAACCGGAAACAATTGACTCATTACTTCATTGGATGGAGTTTTTTGACCAGTGAAAAATTCTGTAAACGGAAAACTATTTCGAATTAAATTTGGATCATAAATCACATCTTTTTCCGTTTTTTCTTCTGTCATTGATTGATTTTTTTTATTGGTACTGCTCATTAAATGGTGTGATGTATCGCTTGCAGCTATCTTACTAATAAAATCTTCCCAACGTGATAGAACTTCTTGAATATAAAAGTATTGAGCAGTTTCACAAGTTTGTAAATGAAAACTATTTGTTGAATCAGATAAATCAGAATCAGGAAGATTATCGGTAGATAATTGTGGAATAGCTGATGATGGATTTAAAGTTTTTGCTAGACGTGTCACCTTGATATAAACAGTTTAGATAGATAATGGAAGAAGTTGGCGGAGTGAGATGAGGGAAAGGAATAGAAACAATCGTAATTAAGATGAAAATCTTGCTGAAAAAAACACGGCGAGACTATAATATGTGGACGAAGCAATCAGATATACGTTAAGAAGTTTTGAATTTTGGTGCGAAATTCATTCGTCTAGGCATTTTGGCCGATGTCAGTTTGTGATGAAAACTCTAGTTTCTAACCCTAACCATCAACTCTAAATCATAATTGTAATTCCTCACACTGCTTTATAACCGTCATTTAGTCCTATTTAGTAGGTGGACATTCTCAAGGTAACCTTAGCATCGCTCAAAGGTCGTCCATAAATTATAATCTCACAGAAAACGCTTTAAAGGATGAGAATATCAATCAGAAATAATGAAAACAAAAAATTTCTCTACATTAGGGTAGGTATCAAAACAGTTTAGAACTGGATTCTATTTCAAACTTCAACGATCAAGAATGAATAACACATGATGTTATGGAAGTTTCAAAGTATTTTGATTATATTCACTTAGTATTGTTTGTTTGAATCTTCCCATTGATGTTTATCACTGCAACTGGTCAGTCTCTAATTGGCATATGTGCATACTGTGCGCATTGCATCAATATAGCCTTAATTCACAAGCATTGTAAGCAAAGATAGATAGTGGCTAGTAGTGGAACCCAGGACGTACGTTTCGTCCTATTTCGGACTCGTCAGCTAGATGTACCTGCATCTCAGAGTTGATGTTCACTCTGGGATTCGAACCTAGTACCTTTCGCTTCAAACGCCATCACATTATCCACTCAGCTACTGAGTTTAATATGTAGATTGATTGATTTACTTTTTATCATTTACGTTGTTAATTATGGTATTTTAATGGAACTAATAGACCAGTAAATCGTCAACAGCATGAATAATTGGTTCAAGTATGAAACAATAACTAAGTTCTATTAATTATTAACAAAAGAATCAGTTACAATTTCAAACTATTTGCACGTAGAGTATTCACTATTTCGGATTAATTTATATTCATGAAAAGATATTATCATGAATTAAAATCAATAAGTCAAAATTCATAGATGCGAATCTAGAGTTATCATTATAGGCAAAGTAATTACTGATTAAAACGCACTGATGAAAAACCGTACTTAGTTACATGAATCCTACTGGCTAAGTGACATTGTTACCATCGATAATTGTGGCATTCAATATCAGTTTCAATATTTAATGATGTATGTTGGTGTTTTAATTAAGAAGATTGGGTAAATTTAAATGTGTAAGCCACTTGAGACAGTTTCTGCATTGATAAACAAGTTTTTCACACAACTTGTCTGACTTCCCCATTGATATATTCAATGTTATCATTAAATTTTGAATAATTTGTGATTTCCAACTTCTCGATGATTGGTTACAAGTTCATGAGTCATAAAGTTTTGTATCAGAGATGGCAAGATATTCGACTATTCTAAACGAAGTAACCAAAGAAGGGAAATTCGAACTGTTAAACTATAAGCTGGTAGAATCATGGTTTACTGATGGCCTTGAGCGGCCAATTGAAAAAAACATAGCCAATGTTTAATATTCAAGCGAATTTAGAAGGTCACTGTGAATAGCTTGTTACTGGATATGATGTTTTTGATAAAATTTCAGATGGATTACTCAGGGCTGGTCATTATATTTTACAGGATTAACAATAGTGATGTACTTTCGATTTATGCAAAGATACTATATGTACTTAAAATTATGATAAACTCACTTCTTGTAAAAGATGTATACGTTTAGCTAAAATATAATCAACTCGACCATAACGTGAAAAGTCTTTATCAGTGTCTAAACCTTCTTCTCCATGACCCAAACGTAAAAGATGACGTTCGTCAACATCTAAAGCGATAATTTTCTCGAATAATTGATTTAATGCTTGATTTGAATGAGTTACGATAAGAATGCTAGTTTTATTTTGGACAATCAACAGGACACAAAAAAAGATAACAAAATCGGTATGAAAACAGGAAATAATCAAAATATACAGTTAAGATTATAGAAAGAAGTTAACCATAAAGCGTATACAAACAATGGTCGGACATAAAAAGATTTTATAGATCCAGGTTTCGTTCTTTTTGCTGACACTTAATCATTCGAATTTATACTGCTTAGCAATGAATTTGTAGTTATTGGTGCTGAGCTAAATAGGCTACAACAACTCTGAATTTTGAATTACATTGATGACTACAGCGCTGAATGAAACAAATTTGAGCTTGTGATTAACACCTAGTAAGTAAAGCCTATGAGTTTGCTAATGTAATTAATGGTAATCTGTTTAGATTGAAGACTAAAGGAAAGGATAGTGTTCTTACGTTTCAGTGAGCGATTATTGATTAAGCATCGTTTGAGAGAACAGTATATGATACTTTCGAGAAGTTTTTTTCAATGGAAAGGATAACGTACAGAAGTACTTACCGTTGATTAGGATAATTATGATATAAATTATGAATAATTTGTACAGCTACATCTGTTTTCCCAGTACCAGGTGGACCGACTACTAAAGTTAAACCACATTGCATACCAGATCGAATAGCTTCTATTTGTGCTGGTGTGAATGGCACTTTGTTACCAAGTTTAGAATTCATAGATGAAAGGCTATTAGGTAAATGACCTCCAGCCTGAGCAAGTAAACTCCAAGGCGGTTGTAAAGGTGGATCGTAGGCTTCAGCAATCAAATTCGGTTTTTCATCATTTTTAAAGTTATTGTTAGAAGTATCTACATTAGCACTACTAGTTGAATGCTTCTGAATAATCATATCTGATGGAATCATTGCTTCGACTTTTGCAGTTGGATCATCTTCCAATTTTGGAAAAATAAGACGATAAGGTGGTCCAGGTAGATGATTTGTGGGATCTTTGAAAGAAAATTTGAAAAAAAAAATATAATTGATAGTTTTTTTCTTCGAAAAAAGTGGATATTGATATATTTGTACGTAACTACTGTTGAAGTGATAGTTTAGTAGCGGGTTACAGGTTTGCAATTTGCCTACATTTGTCTGGACTGATAGGTAGGTATCAATAACTCACATTTTAATGATACGACATAGGGCCAAGAAATACAATCGCGTTTAATAAGTTAAAAAAAGAAGGTTGAAAAAACGTAAAACTGTTTCTTGAACTATAAGTTGACCCCAGGTGAAAATATATACAAAGATGTTCATCTGATCTATGATCCTATTAGCACGACTATAGAAATCAATGACAATAAAATAACGAACTAAACACAAAAATCCAGTTTAAAAGACAACAAAATTGTTTCGTGATTAATAACTACAGTGTGGGACAGAAATATTAAGACCAGATACATCATAATAAACATAAGTAGTATGTAATACTGGTAAGAAGTGGAATGCATGGCAGCAGAAGGTTAAGAAGATCGAGGTGAAAAAACAGAGGGAAATAAGAAGGAATTGTGAATTGGAAGAATCCTACAAAATTTGAAGGACAATTGATGAAAGACTTGCAAATGTATAGTTTCCACATTTCATCAAAGAGCTCTGTAGTTTTGTGTTAGGTAGTGAATTGGTTGTCTCCACCTGAGTTCTCGTTCACCACGAGGATAGTTGTGGCAACAATTAGTAATAAAGTTATAATTCGTAGGTCTTAGTTTAATGAAACAAATAATCGTTGTAGGAGTAAATGTTCGGACTTTTTATAGCATTATTTAGTTGAATGCAATGCAGAACCTATCATAAATGTGTATCGGTCCAAATCGGCACACCTCACATAAAAAGACGAAAAGTAAACGACCGAAAATAATAATAATAAAATAAATTAATAAGAAAGACTAAACAGGAAAGATTTCAATATATTTAGTATGTGACAAAATGCGGAAACTAGGAATTGCGTTCTATCCTGTTTGGGATTCATCAGTTGGGTGTTTCTCTATCTTAGTGTTAACGTTTACGTTGAGAAATGGACTCGGAACATTTTGCTTTAAACGCCTGATACAATATCCACTGAGCTACCAAGAACAGATAGCCACTAACTTGTTCAAATAATATGAAGGTTTTAGTACGGATTTGTAATTTTCGAGTGGCTCAGTAGATAACTAAGCATTTGAAGAGAAAAAACTGAAGACTTATTGTGAACACAAACGCTACAATACAGAAACATCCGCTTGAAAAGTCCTAAATGGGACGAGATGTAGGTTCTGGATTTCATTGCTAGCCACATACCATATGTACTAAAACTTGTGACAAGAAGTTATATCAATGCCATTATCTCAGGATGCACACATGGCGACAGAGATGGATGAATTGTAGTCATGAATACTAACGGGGAGTTAGAAACCCTTGCTTATAATGATTTTGGTCCGAATAAAGAATTTTAAGAAATGCAAATTGTGCAGTGAAATTAATCTGAACACTAGTAAGAAGATGAATAATGAGAACAACTGCACCACTGTAACTACAAGTTCTAATCACAGGCTTCAATTATTATCAATAAGACACCTTATTATCACTAGCTTACTCAACAACACACAACAATGAAGCATATTTCAGGATTTTATTTGAAATGACGTTCATAATAATTATTTTGAAGGACTTGTGTTTTTTAAGCCACTTTATTTCTTATAACGCAAAATACTAGTACCGTCGATCCAAATGTTTGATATGGTCCTTCACTAGACACTAGATACTCAATAATTCGATCCGTAAGACTAAACACTAGACCATTGAGCTCAATATATGATGATACTTGATCGTATGATAAACTCGGTTCAAATACCCGATCAACAATCAAGAACCATATTATATAAGAACAAGAGTTTACTCACAAATAATAGAAAGGAGTTGACAAATAAAGTCACTGTAACACAAATGAAATCAATTAGCGCCTTTCATATTTCGGATATGTTTGTCTTCGCTCATCGACCAACCACAATCTAATAGGTATATTCGCTGAGTCGACAAAAAAATAAATCAAATCCAAGCCCGAGGAAATTAAATGTTAGTCGCGTGTGAAGCTCGGATAAGTCATTTCTGCCAAAGGTTTGTGCTGATTATTATTATTATTATTATTATTATTATTATTATTATTATTATTATTATTATTATTATTATATAAACACATAAATATCGAGGTTGTTCATAAAGTCGATGAAAGCTTCACAATTAAGCAAATTAGCTGAGAGAACGTAACTCCATCAAAATCATCCTTTCGAACTACATATCTTTAAGTTATGATAATTGTGTTGGCCAAAACGACAACAAGAGCCTCACAATTAAACTAACCAGCTAAGAGAATGCAACATATTCAAGATCTTCTCTCCTTTTAAACTACAGGTAATCTTTAGAACGACCACCTTATTATTTGACATCAAGTAAAATTTCTTAGTTAATCAAGTCTGAAAAGTAGTTTCTTCTTAAGAAATAATTCAGTAGCATTGAAAAGTAGTAGATATTCATGTAAAATTACAATCAAAATTATTCTATCTTATCATCAGGAGTAAAACACAAAAAAGTTATCAATAAAAATTACCAGTTATATCTGATATTTCAGCTTGACAACTAGACTTCCATTTACGACTTTGACGTTTATCTGTAAATTGTACATTATATTGGGATAATGAGTGTTTTAAATGTTCTGGAGATAAAAATGTATCCAGCCAATTTTGTCGCTGTTCATATACATCTGAACGATGTGTATAATGTGCAGCGGCAGGATCAAGATAACCCATTAATAAATCTAATAACCATTCAGGGACAACAGATCGAATATTCATAAGATCCCTTGATTAGGCATAATTTATAGGGAAAACAAATATATAAAAATGTTACCAATATAATATAAACAAGGAGTACATGAGAAGGAAGAATAATATCTTTTAGTTAAGGTTAAAATGATGCAGTATAATTGACTTTAAGATAATGTTTCTCAATCTAAATTTGTTTGTTTGCTCACGTTTATGCCAATCCTATTTATGTATTGTTAGCTAGACTGAGCTACTCAGACATCATTTAGCATTCTGACTACGAAATTGAGTAACATTAATTCGAAACATCAATCGGTAATAATTAAATTAGGGTCAAGGAAAAATGTGCGTTAGCTCAAGTGGACATTCTATGTTAGGATGATAATATAAAATTAACGAGATGAATAGTAGAAGAATCGTAATACAATAGTAGCAATAATAATATAAGAATGGTTGGACACTGAGAGTATAGTTCTAAAAAAGTAAAGTGAAAAGGAATGTATAAAAGAATACTGGAGCTTAAGATTTACAGTAAGATAGAGTGAATGAATCGAAGACACCTATGATCAACGATTGTATCCAAATTTCATGTTTTACAGTCATAGAGATACAAAATAGGCAGCTGTACAGTGTATTTGCACTTTAGTTTACAGAAGAACATCTCTTCTTCTGCACAAATAACGCAAGTATGAAATTTTTAATTATTAGATAAGAAGTATCATTTCTCTATAAATTACAAATACACTTTGTTGATGAATGCTAACAAACATGAAATCTAAACCGAAAACTTTCTACTAATTCATTTCAATTATATTCAAAATTACGGTAGAATTTCAGATAACTAAAGTGTTTGAACCCTGTTTTAACTAATTCGTTTCGGGCAACTGGGTAGTGTCATTAGCCTTCACAATAAGAATGTGGCTCAAAACCAAGTGCATGAATCTGCATCTGGTGAGTTGAAAAAAGCTTGTGGAGATAGGACTATTAAACATATTTTGTAAACAATTTTTCATAGTTTTTGCATCTATTTTGTGTATTTTCATATTCTATACATTTAGCACTAAACAGTTGTACTTGTTGTTCAAGTTTGACTTTGAATACATGTTAATTGACTTCCTTCCGTTTCAAATACACCATATCACGGCGTTGTAACTTCTCCTCATTAAATACATTCTAACACACAAATGCATCGTTCTATTATGTCTGCAAATGCGTTCAATAAATCATTAATCGAATATCATCTACGTTCATATATTACTGTAACGCTCTTATCACATTCTACGCTTAATAAACTTACTGGAGCCAAATCGTCCATATTGGAATCATTAATCTTCCATAATTGTGGATTACTGGCACCAAATCCAACTCAACACGCAAAAGCCAGCAGACTTAAGTAACGTCGCTAACTTTTATTTGTGTGTATTTAACTTAATAACTGTTTATGGTTACATAAACTTTTGACGTAATATTTTTATTGCTATTTTTGGTTAACATACGTTTTGGTCCGCCACAAGCTAAATGTATGCTTTAGTCTACATAAAAATGAATAAATACAAGGACAAAATATGGAGTGATATGGCGATTTAACTCAATCATCAAATATGTACCTTTGTACACAGTTATGAATTACACTTTAAGTTTGATAGCTAGTGATAATTTACTGTTGTTCAAACCGGATTAGATAGATGAGTGTAATCTCAAACCACCCTACCTAATAGTAGATGAAAGTTAAACGGTAGATTAAAGGCTGAATCACTTGACTTCCAATCACTGAATCCCAACTCTGAATCTTACTACAGCTACTCCTATTCTGAGCAGCTAAGTACAGAAAATGAAATGAAAACTGACCTTATAGTTTCTAAAACAGCTTTGAAATTATTTTCTTTTGGTTTTCGTCTAATTAAAACATTGAATGTATCATATAAATCTTCTGGGGAAACTTGTTCAGCTTCATCAACTTGTGACTGTAATGCTTGAATTTCTTCAGTAGTACGTCCTTCACGTTTTGCTCGAATCACTTTTGATCGTAACACTTCAGCACGCATTTGTTCAGTCTTTAAATGGTCTAAATCTGTTTGATATTGTACGGGATCTAAGCGTACACGCCATGTTGGTAAAGTATCAACTAAGTTAGGCTTTTCTCCTATAAACACATACAGTAAGAAAAAATTGGTAGAAAAATATGGATGGAGAAGCAAAATAATTGGTGTTACCTTTTGAAAATCAACAAGATATCATATGCGAATAAGAACTAATTCTATGAAGTATGACTAATGAAAACAATTGACTACTTTATTTAAATCCACTGTCAAAAACTTCACTACAATGGATTTTAAGATTTCTTTACTATCGAAGTCGATGTTAACAAAGAATGATCTGCAAACCTTAGTTTTTCTCAAACAAGCAGAAAAGAAGAATCTATGATAACGGGACGACATACAAAAGACGAATCGTAAACTTTGATTCGCAAATTTAAGAGGACTGGGTTTGAGGGTTGAGTTAGGCATGGCGATATCAGAGACCTGTTGATCCTGTTGGAACTTAATTTCTCTACTACTCTTTATGCTTCAGTGTGAAATGTTGCATAAATTATGGGTTTAGACTCGAATCGATGATGGGTAGCATCAACCACTAGTGCTTTGTCGCTAACAATGCACGATAACATAACCTCAGACAGACTTTTACGGATGTTATTCATATTCAGCTTCAAAACTACGATACCTTCCGGAGGAGTGCCAAAATAAAAACCACGAGTTGTTCAAGGTGGCACTGCAACAAAACAAAGGGTACGTAAATTAACTTAAGAGTTGAATACTTAAGGCATTGATAGACTTTTGGGAAGAATAAGGATAAATTGGCTCTTTCTCTTTCAAGCGAGGAGTCGAACAATGATTTTTACAATTTTTGTGTTGTAATCTTGTTACTATTTCTGTGTCAAGGTGAACGCATCAAGCCTATAATGGAATGGTGACTCAGTGGTTAAGAAGTTCGACTATCAGTTACTAAGTCACAGGTTTAAACACCGCTACACCTACTTCCGTTTGGGCAATCTCTAACCCTGAAACTTAGAGTACAACAACCATATACCCCAATCCGTACCTGTTAAAAGAGTCGAGATAATAGTGGTTCATTAATTTGAAAAAGTAAACATTAAATCGGACCTCTTAAAATTTTGAAATAAAAATAAATTATCAAACCAATAAGTTTGCTAGACATCATAATAAATGTAAACTGAAAAGTGAAAGCAATCTGTAAAGTCTTGATTTAGTCATAATCAACACGTTGGGCCCAGTGCAAGTGTATCTTTAGTCCAAAGTACCACACCATAATTAACTAAAATATGTAGTTCTTTAGGGAGAGACTCACCTTTTAATGGTAAAAAGCCTAGACGTTCTTCATCCGGTACTAGTTTACCTTCCTTATCGACTTGACCTTCAATTTCACAACCACGAACATAATGTAAACCAACTTGTGATGCAAACGGTTCGTTCGTGTTAAATCTACGCATATATGAGTAGGGTAAATAAAGAAAAAGTGTAAATTGAAGTAATTTCGTGTGATTAGATCCCTTGATAAACTTTAATAACCCAAGAACAACAAACGCTACGTGAGGTAAAGCGAATTCGTTTCATTTCATGTGCTCTAATCAGTCTATATATGCGGAAGATTTAGACTACATGAAATAAAATTATCTCACCTTATTCCATAACAAACGTTCCACTTGCTTTACAAAAATTGGAATAAATATGCTCATAAAACACTGAACTTATTAATCAGAAAGTTAATAATTTTTCAGTCTACCTGAACCTTTAGATGCAATTTTACTGAGTACGAGTCAACATAATTTCATGCACTAATGGTATGTCTTAACTTTGCCGCTTCTGGTTCTCTTTTAATCTAATCATGTGCCATCCAACATAGTGTGAAGAGGTAAGTGATGGTTGATAATGTTAAAACCAATAAAACTGACGAAAATTCACTGCCTCGGTTAATGAAACCGATTTACCATCTTGAAATACTCGTTATTCTTGGTCTCAGAATCCTATCATACACAAAGCAATATTCTAAACACAGTTTAATCATGAATACAGATCATTCGTAAATAATGTCCTTAATGCCATACAAATGTGAGAAATTCATGTGTATTTATTTACTAATGTCAACTTACCATACAGAAACATAGGATTATGAATCCACTCAGTGTTAATGATGTAAGCATAGAAACAGTTTCATTTTGAAAACGAAAGAGTAGATAACTACAATAAACAATACACGCTACTCTACACGAAAACATAGATGAGAAAAAAAACTAAGAAACGAAACTCAATATTATGTCGTCAGTGTCGATAAAATGCCTCTGAATAATAAGTGTAAAGATAGACTGGGTTTATACTGAATTACTAAAAAATGAACACGCTTTGAATTCTATTGTTAATAATAAAATAAAAGTGTCATAGAAAGAGAGAGGAGACAAACATACTTCCATCCTTGTTGTTTAGTAGGTCGTATTGTTACTAGAAACACTGGGTCATGACGTCGTAAACCAAGCCATTCTTTACGAATCTCTGGACGAAGACCAGCAAGTGCTACACGCACATCAGCACGTACACGTGCTGGATGTCTAGCACCTAAATCTGGTTTAGCTACCTCAACAATATTAAATGCTTGTATTGGTAAAGCCATTCTTGACCAACCATCAAAGACGGCTTGACCAAATTCACCACGCCATGCTTTCAAACGAACAATAGCATCTTCAATATCCTATAAAAAAGAGGGAACACATGTATGAACGATGACGCATAAAGAAATAAACAACAGAAGTAATGGTTGATTAAATTCGGTAACTCCATATAAATGCAAAGACACCTCAAGTCGAAAATCGATATCAGTCGAAAAATGTTTTGTATCGCTATACACTGAGAGTTCTTAACATGAAGTTACCAAAATTATTGTATTCACATCACTAAAACAATGAAAAACAAGAGTTCGGATTACAAAAGGGGCGTGCCTTGACGTTAAATGTGAGAAAGCTTGGTTACAGCATGAGTGATAGTAGAATGAAAACGGTTTAATATAACTAGTCCAAGATGAATCATATGAGCACGACATTAAGTCGCCTGGATAACTATACGCCTCCTAACTCAGATGGTTCGTAAAACAGTAAAAATGTATAGCTGGGATGTTGAGAAAAACATAAATAAGAGTGGGGTATGATGTATCCAGTTTTCATACTTAGCAAAGATTGGGCATGTTATCTACCAATACCTATCTATCTCCTCCCACAGAACTGGCATATTTTATTCAGTTCATTTTTGTTACTAACATTAACATCGTATTTTTGTTTCTGAATTGATTCTCTAAACAATATAATGTTCAAATGCAGTAACTTGGACCAACAGAGTCATGAATGCACACTTCTGAGGAGTCTTATATTGAGGTAAAACAGATGTCCAATGCTTTCTAATTTTCAATGGTAGTCTAAGTAGGGTTAGTTCATGAAGTCAAAAGAGACTGCCACTACTGTCTGATTCCATAGATCGGAGTAAGTGATGAAATAGTGATTGAAAGTAAAGAGTTCACCATTAACTGACTATTAAATCATAGATAGAAAGACAGTATGAAATGAACAAATATTCATAACAATTCGTAATAGAACTAACTTGTCGGATTTCATAAGTTGACTCTAAACGAAATAAATTGAAATTTCTTAGTAAGTAATCTTGTAAAGTTAAAAATTGTAAGCCTAATTTTGGTAAAGCTAAACAATTTTCACCAGAATAGTATTCCGTTGGAACACGATTTTCATCCCAAATTAAATCTTCTGTAGGATATAATGATAAACTGTTTATATATTCCAATTCAGATTGACGACGAGCAAAATGATGAATTACAATCTGTAAAAGAACAGAAAGAGGTCAAGAATAAAAAAAATTAATTAAGTATTTCGGCGAATGTAAAATCACTTATTCATTGTCCGTAGAAAACAACAAGAATTTTCGGCAATTTACTCTGTAATCATTTATGATCCGTGATTGATAATCTCGAGTGTTGTTAGAGAGTATGAAGACGGTTTTTACTTCCCAAGTGACCGCATTATGAAAGGATTTTTCTTCTTGACGGACATGAAAAACAGAAATCCGTAAGGCAAGGTGAGGGATGGTATTTCTAGGATCGAATTTTAGTAACCCGCTCTTTCTGTTGTAGGAAGGAAGCTTCGCAACAGATGCTGACAGTTTGAGGGTGGTACTCTTTTGTAGTCAGACCGCAATACAGTTCACAGCAAGTCGTTACCGTCCGACAATGAATTAACTACTTTTAGTCACTGTTCCCAAGCAAACCTACCAGATATGGTAGGACATAAATGAACAAGTGTTTCACGCAATACAGATAGGTTCAATCATCACGATATGCAAGCCCAACCACCATATCAAAGTAGCAGCTACGGTCGGTATCCAAAACCCGACCTGTAACACACAGTTCAATGGTGATAGTTTAAAAGCTGATTATAAATGGAGGGCAACTGAAAAGGAGGATTTTTATATGGGATATATCTAAAAACACATTAAATGGAACAATCGGTTTGGTTAAAAATAATTTATTTTAAGAATCTTTTTTAATTTAGAGATTTTTCATGACCGCATACGTGGTTTATATTTAATAAATGATTAGCCTCGATGAAGTTGTGCCGTCAACTACTTAACCCGAAACTAGTACAAATCTAAACGTTTGATAAGTTTATTTTGAGTCATTAAAAGTGCGGCCCAACTTTGTAGCCAAGTACACACGTATGCACTGAGCTCTCAGCCACGCATAAAAACCCATACACCTAGAATGTTTTTTATCAACGAGTATGGCAAATAATTGTCCAGGACTAGAATCATTCTTGAATTCTTCATGACGTTGGCTGAAATGCTTGAAGAGAACTGTCCTATTCGATAAACAGCTGACAACATTTAACGAATTCGAAACTTTTTCCCAATTGGTTTGTTGCCATCAGAAGGCAAGTTTATGTTTTTCATTAACTCAGTGTAACAGTTTGTGACAATAGTTTATGCCTAGTGTGACACATTGGTTTTACTATCAGTGTAAAATTTTAGTCAGTAAAACATCGGGATTTATTTTCCAGTGTAACACTATCAATTAAAGGTGAATTTCACTCAGTACGATGGGTGTGAAATTTCGCTGCACAGTGACATTTAAACTCTTTTTAGCAATTAGTCCCCTTAATAAATTTCGATAGTGTAATAAGAAGACGAAAATTATCAGAACTATGTGATATATCACCATATACTGTTTGTATTTATTCAGTATGAACTTTGCATATGTTTTACAGAAACCCTGTGTATCTTTTCACTTATATAATGCTCATTAACTAATCGTCAAGTATTTGTAAAATTAGCATACAAATGAATGTTGAGATGGTGGAGAATGTGAATGTGTTTGTTTTAACAACGTCATTTTTTAAAGAGCTAATAAACCTTTACTGTACCAGTCTTCTTGTTCTCATTTTGCGTCTTGGGAATTATAGTAGTTTTCTAGTTCCAAGTAGAAGCAGTAGGACTGAAAATATTACATTAAGTTCACTAAAAAAAACCTTAGTAGCTCGGTGTGTATGGACAGGTAGGTTCTATTAGCTTGACTCTTAGGTAAATTTTAAACACATATAGACACAAGTTATTTAACAATGTGTACTTACTCGAATTATCAAATCTTTATCCATAAATTTAGCTTCTAATTTATCTCTAAGAGAGTTTAAATCAAACTCATCTACATCTTGATCATTTGAACGAATTCGTTTTGCAGGTGGTAACTGACAATCGTTAGTATCATCAATCTTATTTTGTTCATTATTTTGAATAGATTCTTTTTTTAATGTAACAAGACCAAAACATGAAGCTAGTTGATAAAGTTGATCTCTGTCTAACACTGATAAATGTTTACGTAACAATTGTGCAGTTTCAATTCCAGCAGGATGTGAGACAGAAAATGGTAGAAGTTTGTCTTTATGCAATGCAAATGTTCTCAATTGTAAATTACTTAGTTTAGCACAGTGTCTACAAAATAAATGAATTAATGAAGTTTTTTTCCCAAACAAGCAATAAATAAAATTATAGAACTTTCATTAGAAAAAAAGCGTTTAATAGTAATAAGTTGTGGAATTCTTGATAACTGTTTAAATGTAATGCCCCAAATGCCCTGGTACGATCGAGAGTGGGGAGAGTCAGCTCTCCCTCTCGAAATGCTCTCACATGGCCACGCGTATATAGCGCCTGCCAGGGAAGTCCTACTCACTGCTTTCTCGTGGCATTACTGTTGTTTACGAAATTGAGAGGACGAAAAGCGAATTTCCGGTGCTTTAACCGAGTTGGTGGACACGGAGGGTCCACATAGGGGAGTTGGAAAACCCTGATTCCAAACCAATGGTGAACATGGGCTCCAGTATCATGAGGGAACAAAAGGCTTATGAATCAATCGTTGATCACTTGCTACCATGGGGCTGCATCTCCTCACGATGCTCCACTGGCTTGTGGATCAGACCTTTAGGTCGATGGCTCCGGGTGTGGTCCCCTAAGAAAACCAAATGCTTCAGTTTGGGTACCTGGGCAGTATCAAAGCCCTCACACAAATCAAATGAGTTTGTGCGGCGCATATATATCTGGTGCCGTTTGTACCAATATTTACACGTTCAAATAAATAAATAGATAAAAAAGTTCCACTGTAATATATTAATAACTAATATTACTATGGTCATTATCGACTCATTTACTAGATACAGATACATGTACTTAGTCACACTAATAATACTATCTAGTTGGATAAACCGAAGTAAATGAAGGGGGTCTGAACGTGAAAATTAGGTACCTTAACAACTGGGCGACTGCTTCAATGGAACTACATTTCAGAATGTATTTTTACAAAAATTAGATATCCGTATAAAGTAGATGGAATGTACCCAACAGTAGAATAGAGGACCCACGTTTCATCCTATTTGGGACGTATCAGCTGAATATACCTGTATCGCAGAGTTGACGTCCACTCAAGAACCCTGATCCAGAATTACTGACATCAAACGCCAATACTATATCCACATAGCTACTGAGTCCATATAGCCACTCACTTGTACAGCGGGTATGAATTTCAACTTAATTTGTAATGGTGCATACAGCTGACGAGTTCCGTATGTCACGTAATGCACGTCATGGAGTCCACTGCAAGCTACATCTCATATATTCTGTATACACTTGTGTCATAATGGCTAAATTGAGGCAATTAGCACAGGATGGATATACACTAACCAAGATTGATCAAATGTCAGTCAAAATATTGATATCAGGATAACCCAAGCCGTCACAAATCGAATTAGAGTTCTGTGTTGCATGGACATTGAGTCAATAAATAAAACTTAATACTATAACTTACTCATAGGAGAGATTTTTTAAAAACACTTACCTTTTATCCATTTCCGCTTCATCCAATGGTTCGCCAGTACTTTCATCAATATGAAAATGAGCGTAAAAAGCTAGCAAATCAACTAGTTCTGAAAATAACTTTCCATCTGGACGTTTGATAAGTGCAGATTTCTGACAATATACAACAATATGTCTATCGTCGAGAACAACATTTAATATTCGACGTGTAAGCAGCATACTTTCCAAATCGATTAGCAATAATATGAAACGTTCTAAGTAGTGAATCAACAAAGGTTCTATGGGCTTTAATTAAAAGAAAAGGAGAGGAAATTAAAATAATTCAGTATGGTTGTACGATAGTTTGCATGACAAAGGATTCTGTTTTATTAGGTTGTAAAAACTGTCCGAAAACTTGAACCTAAATTTTGTGCATACCGGTAGGCGTTGAAAAGAGATGAGATTGTAACCATAGAAGTGACCTATGCTCCACCAACGTTAGGTCTCACACCGTTTAAATCCACAGCCAGTTATCACTGAGGGAGATATTTAAATAAACAGCTAGCTTTATTAACTGTCTAGTGGCTCATTTAAATGCCTAACCTACCATGACAATTGAAGATTTACTCATGGTGAAAAAGGCTCTTTAAATTTGGCACCAGTTTGACTGACAAGTCTCGGCAAGTACGACTTTTCTGTGAATTACTTCAAGAAAGTGTGTTGTAATGATCTGTCACCTTATTCAGTGATAGTGATATGTTGTTTCTGATCAAAAGGATACAATCATTTACTGTAGTTACTATTTGCGCACTAATTTGTGTAAAGAACTATCATAAATGTACTGTAAAAATTATGCTACTGGTTTAATGTATACTAGAAAATTAAGTGTATTTATTCAACGAAGAAGTTCGTTTCTATAGGATCGAATGAGTAGTACACGATATACATCTTATTGAAGTCAAGGCTTGGGAACACAATACTCCTCAGAAAAAAACAAAAAAACAACCGACATGATAATCAACTGATAAGGTACTTAGTGTTCTGTTGAAATAAGATCAACTGCGTGAATTGGAGAGAAAAACCTTTCGTTATTTAGGAAAGTCTAGCGATATGAATGAAAAACTGACCTTGCATCGAATAATTACATCAATTTCTGAAAGGATGACTATTTGGTATTTAACCCATTTTGTCACTTATTATTACTTCTGATTAATGATACTGCTCAGTCGATCAGATTACGAGTTAGAACAAATATGCATCGGTTCAAGCTGTTATACCATAACAGCAAGGCGAGGTGAAATTAACAAGATGGATAATAAATGAGTCGGGATAGTAGTTTCAATGACAGTAAGAAAAACTACATATAAACAATATGGTCCGAAAGGAATAAATGTAGTGATAAGATAAAAAGTATAGAATTATATTAAGACTCAATATCTAAGGAAAGATAGATGAATAGAGCAGCGCCGCTGAGACCAATTTTAAAATATCCCACCTAATATGTTCAACCATTGATAACAATCATCACATGGATCCCGATTCTGTAGTATGCATTTACCAACTTGGTTCAGACCAACAGTCAACAGACTCATGACTTGATGCTATGTCCCAGTTTGGGCGCCATCAACTCTCTTCTAACATACTCCTGCTCGTATGTTGAAAATTAAACGTACACAAAACATAATTATTCCAATTCCTTTCACAATGCTAGTTAATTTTGCTTTTGAAAAATCAGAGGCCAAATCGAAAATCGATAGTTACATACATACCTTATCTTCATCCTTTTCAGGTATTGAATTCAACAGAATTAAAAACACATCCAAAATTCGTGGAATAAATGAATGCTGAAATACCATATTATCTCGTTCAGTAGGGGAAACTTTTGTATCACGATATTTTTGTAATTTTTTTAATAAGCGAGCATATCGTGGATGTGATTTTAGTTCAAGACTTAAACGAGTCGGTTGAAGATGATCTTGCCAAATGGCTAGGCTGTATAATTCACGAAGACTACGTCGTAATACACCAACTTCAGCCAAATTTGTAAAACAATGTGATAAGAAAATGATAAGAACTATATGCTCCAGAATACATTTTTTCTGTTGTACTGGATTCGACGACTCATCGGACGTTTGGTGTTTGTCTTTCCCATCATTATCATCATCTTTAGATCTTGTATTGATCTCAGTGAGCAGTGGGTTAACCGTCAATATCTGTGGGGATTCATCAAGTAGAATATGCAGTACTCGTTGAATAAGCCCACTAAATTTATCCGCTGTGACTACAAAAGTCTAGAATATTCAGAGAAAAGAGAAACACAACAGTAACCAAAATAATACAGATATGGGTCAACACTGATTATTTGAAAGAATATTATTATTTCAAGACTAACCATTTGAGCAGCTTTTAAAAGTTAGTATGTCAGTTCGACATTGTGTTTCTCACTCAATTCTAGGAAAATAAAAGTAGTTGTCTCCAATAATGAGTTTACTACTTAAATAATGTTTTGGAACTGCTAACTTTAGAATTACTAGTTGTATTTAGCAACTAACTAGTGTTGAAATACGACTAAACAGTATAAGAACAGTTATCGACACCAAGAAGGGTCTAGTGGAATTTCGAAAGTCATAACTTTTTGTTAGGACCTAGGGAAGTATTACTCAAATATACCTTTGAAAATTCTCTTTACTCATAATCCAGTTTTGGGGCTATGTTTACAAACAGAAAGAAAATTGTTTAATACTCCTTGTGTTCACGATGCATTCCTGATTGACGTTGATATGGTATGAACATTTGGCTCAACTAATGAAAAAAGGGTGGCACTTAAACCATCGAAGATGATATGATGGTCAAAGAATTTAGTTTCTAGAAAGTAGATTTCCGGTTCGAACCACGCTCCACTTACATCATTCGGAGCAACTGGTTGGTATCACTAACAGTATAGCTCAAAGTCGAATACACTAACTTTTACTTGGGTAGATGAAGTTACATTTAATCTATGGGAAATTACAGCAGTAGAACTCAATAGAGAAACACTAGAAATCAGTCCGCAGTTCGAATTCATAAATTCATTCTGGAGTAACAGACATCTGCTTCTAATAAACGCACTCGAATAACATCGTGATGTTCAATCTCACTTTTTAAGTTTAACTAGTGATATGTAATTGGTTCAGTCTCAGATAAAGGATAACTTTCTAACTATTTGATCCCAGATAGTAACACAACTATCCCATGTGAGGGATGTATGAAATGCCCATCCAAATATAATGAGGTTTTTTAAAAAATTACATTTGTGTTAGGTGAAAATCTTACTAGTTTTTTCCATTCATTTTTGTTATTTATTTTGCGAATATTAATTATAAACTAAATTTTTCGACACATTATTTTAGACAAATTTACGCAAGCTCTAATCGAGATAAATAATATTGTAGTTTCATTGGAAATCAAATATTATTTAGTGAATATTTCATTTGCCTAGTAAAATTATGAAATGTAAATTGGTTTTGTACAGATGTACTTGTTTAAGGGTGGACTATGCACATTGGATAAAGATAACTTATACCACCAAGCTCATCAGATCAAAATAAATGGAGTGCGGAACATTCAACACAAGTACACAGGTCTATTTAGACATACTTTAGCATGGCGAAAACTAACTTTTCAATGAATATTCCGCATAATTATTCCCATAACTTTGTAAAACTCATACTTGTATCCTTTGCTTTAAGATGGATTCCCCAAATCACGAGTAGTGAAGTTTAAGCTTTTCGAGAGTGAAATAGTTATTTTATTTATTTATTTGAACACATAAATATTGGTGCAAAGGGGCACCAGATACATATGCGCCATACAAATCTCATTTGATTTGTGTGAGGGCCGTGATACTGCCCGAGTGCCCAAACCGAAGCAGGTGGTTTTCTTAGGGGGCCACACCCGAAGCCTTTGACCAAAAGATCTGATCCTCAAGACAGTGGGGCATCGTAAAGAGTGTACATACTGCTAGGGAATTCTATGCAAAGAAAAAAACTGTCTAGTGCACTCTTATTTAATTAATTAATTATTTATTTATTTATACACAAAAATATTGGTACAAACGGGTACCAGATACATATGCGCGGCACAAATCTCATTTGATTTGTGTGAGGGCTGTGATACTGCCCAGGAAAACTAAAGATGGTCAAACCAATACATGGCACCAGTATATAAAGTCACTTGTTGTCGGACTAGCCCATTTTGGTAGATCTAGGTTATCTAGTTGGGGTTCTCTCTTTTTTACGTCTCGAGTTCACCCCTTCTTTTTAAATCGGACTCGTCAGTGTCTAATCTTTCTTGCTACCATTGAAACTATTATTATTAAAATTCCTTTGAATTTCATCTTGTCAATTCTGTCTCACCGTGATGATATAGTATGGAATCTAAAGTCACCGCTTATTTGTGCTGGGTCCTAGGTTGTATACGATTGACTGAGTCAAAATGAACTTCTTTAAAGTTGATGCTAGATGATTATGAAAAGCCTATTTTGGATGAGCTAGTGGATGCTAGTAATTTTATTTGAGCCAACAAATATTAGATGCACTTTAATGGACCGGAAATACAATAGAAGATGTATGGTATTTTAGTGCAAATATAATGAAGAAAGAAAATTTACAGGTCATGGTGAAGTCGATAAGCAATAGTCAGTACATTTGCCTAACAGCATATGTCATTAACATATGTGGAAATAATGGCTAGTGACAAGAGATTTTTAAGATACCAGTAATAGTTAACTCGAAATATAAAGTTTTATGGTTTGAAAAAATACAAACCATTGCTATAATTATAAGTTGATCTCTAATTCAGAAATCGTTTTGTTTTCTGACCATATGAATGGTAGAGACCTGTTATGCGAAGTCGCTATTGGATTGGTGGTAGCTATCACATTTTCGTAACCAAGTAAGTGTTCTGTTTTGAGCTATAATTAAACGCTTGATGCTCGTTTCTGTTTATTTATTTAAACAAATATTGGTACAATAAAGCACCAGATATATATGTGCCACACAAATCTCATTTGATTTGTGTGAGGGCTGTGATACTGCCCAGGTGCCCGAACTGAAGCTGGTGGTTTTCTTAGGGGACCACACCCCGAGCCTTTGACCTAAAGGTCTAATCCATAATGCAGTGGAGCATCGTGGAGAGATGCAATCTCATGGTAGCCGGTGACCAACAACAGGTTCATACGCCATTTGTTCCCTCAGGATACTGGAGCCCATGTGCACCATTGGTTTGGAATCAGGGTTTCCCTACTCTCCTAGGTGGACCCTCCGTGTCCACCGACCCGGTTAAGGCGCCGGACATTCGCTTTTGTCCTCTCAATTTCGTGAACAACACCCCCGCCACGAGAATGCAGTGAGTAGGACTTCCCTGATAGAGGCTGTATACGCGTGGCCATGTGAGAGCATTTCAAGAAGGAGGGCGGATTCTCCTCACTCTCGGCCGTATCAGGGCATTTCGGGGGCTAGTGCACCCTAGTTTCTAATGATTTCTCGTTTGATGTCAGACTTTGATTCAAACTTATTTCATATACTTAGTAACTATTATATACAAGCTAATTCACACAGTCGTATATACTGCAGCTGATTTAGATATTAAAAATTAAAACAAGGTTGCGGTTCCCTTATATAGTCTTACTCTAAACACTATAAGACTAGTTGTTCTATAATAATATGCCCCCAAATGCCCTGGTACGGTCGAGAGTGGGGAGAGTCTACTCTCCCTCTCGAAATGCTCTCACATGGCCAGCGAATATATAGCCTCTGCCAGGGAAGTCCTACTCACTGCCTTCTCGTGGCGGGGGTGTTGTTTACGAAAGTGAGAGGACGAAAAGCGAATGTCCGGCGCTATAACCGGATTGGTGGACACGGAGGGTCCACCTAGGGGAGTTGGAAAACCCTGATTCCAAACAAATGGTGCACATGGGCTCCAGTATCCTGATGGAACGAATGGCGTATGAACCTGTCATTGGTCAACGGCAACCATGGGACTGCATCTCCTCACGATGCTCCACTGCCTTGTGGATCAGACCTTTAGGTCAAAGGCTCGGGGTGTGGTCCCCTAAGCAAACCACCTGCTTCGGTTTGGGCACCCGGGCAGTATCACAGCCCACACACAAATGAATGAAATTATGAACTCTATTGACGATAATATCCCTCGTCATACTAAAAGCAAGACAATTAACATTTTAATCGCTGAAAAATTCCCATCATATTAAAACACAATTAAATGAACGAAGAATATTCTTTTCAATAATTTCTCATCAGGTTCTACAATTATAAATTAATAATCCATAAAAGAAGATTGGCCAAGTTTAAGGCGGAGTACATCAATTTAAGAAACTGTAATATGTGAATCAAGGATTGTTTGTCATATAAAATAAGATCGAATAATCACATCATATTAGTCATCCCAAAAACATTAATTATTCGATCTTATTTTATATGACAAACAATCCTTGATTCACATATTACAGTTTCTTAAATTGATGTACTCCGCCTTAAACTTGGCCAATCTTCTTTTATGGATTATTAATTTATAATTGTAGAACCTGATGAGAAATTATTGAAAAGAATATTCTTCGTTCATTTAATTGTGTTACAATTAACATTATTATTATTACCTTTATTATTATTATTATTATTATTATTATTATTATTATTATTATTATTATTTACCATATCGCTAACTCACCCCCTTTTATCCCCAATTTGTGTAACCTTACTTTTCAACTTATGCAGCAGCTCGCCCATGGTGGAAAATCTGTCCTATCTAAATGATCTCCAGTCACTGTCTGGTTGAAAGCGAATGCTTCCACCGATTACGAATACTGAAGCAGTCTTTCTGAAACCACGTACGCCGTTCAAGCTGGCTTCCTTCAACGTTCGCACACTAATGCATATCAGACAACAGATAGGGCTGGCTATGTCTTTGGAAGGTCTTAATGTTGATGTTTGTTGTCTATCCGAGACCCGTATTCAAGACTCTAGTGAAGTACTACAAATCCGCTCTCCATCTGACGCCTCGAATAGCTTGTTCCACGTGCGCTTATCCGGGGACCCTGTGGCATCTTCGTCTGGTCTTGCTGGCGTTGGTGTCGCACTAAACGCTAGAGCTGAGGCAGCACTAATCGATTGGATCCCCATTAACAGTCGGTTATGTGCTGTTAGATTAGAAAGTTCCATCAAAGTGAGAAGAAATCGGCGTGAGAAAGGGTGTCTTTTCGTCATCTCCGCCTATGCCCCGACAGACTGCAGCCCGGATGCAATCAAGGATGAGTTTTACCATCAGTTAACAGTTCTTCTCCAGAAAGCGCGTTTGACAGATATTGTAGTACTAGCCGGAGACTTGAATGCACAGGTCGGGCGTCTAGGCACAGAAGAGAGTCGTCTAGGTGGCCGATGGGGACTTGTTGGTCGCAGGACAGATAACGGGGACCGTTTGCTGCAACTGTGCACAGACCACAACCTGTTTCTGGCCAGCACTAACTTCCGGCACAGTCATCGCCGGTGAGCCACCTGGCGTCCTCCCTCTGCATCCCAAGCCTGGACTCAGATTGATCACATCGCGATCAGCTACCGCTGACGTGGTTGTGTACAAGACTGCTGCTCCTTTTGGAGTACCTATCTGGAGTCTGATCATGCCCTGGTCTGCGCCAATCTCACCTTACTTTTCAGTGGCCGAAGGATTGACCACCACCAACGGATTGATGTTAGTAAACTGGCTGCAACTTCTGTTGCAAGTAAGTATCGAGTGGAGCTAGCCTCTAGGCTAGCTACCACCCCACCGAAAAGTATAGATGAGCATTGGTTGCATCTTCACGACGCCATGAAAATGGCGAGTAAAGTCGCTTGCGGCTTCGCGAAACGTCCCGCTTACAAGCACTGGGTTTCTTCTGGCTCCTTACAACTGATGGAAGCCCGTCGGTCTACTCCGGGTGACCGTGAGTTTGACCACAAACGAAGGCTGTTACGCAATGAAATTGGGCGAAACTTGCGTAAGGACCGAGAAGCCTGGTGGTTGAAGCGTGCAAATGAGATGGAAGCAGCAGCTGCATCTATTTACTGCCGGAAGCTCTTCCAACTCATCCGAGCCACTGGCACCAAGAAGTCTGGTGTGAGTGAAACAATCTACGAGGATGACGGAATGCCAATCACTAACATCTCTCGACGTCTTGGACGATGGGCGGAATTTTTCGAAGGGCAGTTCAACTGGCCTGCTGCTCCGGCAACATCAACCAGCTTGTCCTGCCCCCCCCATGACCGGTGACGACTGATCCACCAAACGAGGCGGAAGTCCTCAAGGAACTCCAACTCTTGAAACGTTATAAATCACCTGGCCCAGATGACTTACCTCCGGCTCTTTTTAAAGATGGTGGTGACTTTCTGGCTAAGGAATTGACTGTGTTGTTTGGAAAGGTTTGGGAGCAAGAAAGTGTTCCAACATCATGGAATGAGTCAATAGTCGTCCCTATCTTTAAAAAGGGTTCACGTTGTTCCTGCAATAACTACCGGGGGATAAGTCTACTTTCGATTGCGTCCAAACTATTGGCTTCTATCATTCTTCGTAGGTTGTTTGAAACCCGAGAACGATTGACTCGCGAGGAGCAGGCTGGTTTTCGTTCTGGTCGAGGATGCATTGATCACATCTTCACCCTCCGCCAAATGTTAGAACACCGTCATACTTATCACAGGCCAACAATCGTAGTGTTTCTTGATATCAGGGCGGCCTTCGATTCGTTGGACAGGACTGTTCTCTGGGATTGTCTATTGAATAAGGGGGTGCCTGAGAAGTTCATTAACATCTTAAAGGCCCTGTATACGAACACCTCAGGCAGAGTGAGGGCATACAACCACCTTTCTCCCTTGTTCCATTCGAGCAGTGGGGTTAGGCAGGGTTGCCCGATCTCACCATTCCTCTTCAACTTTGCCATCGACGACATCCTGGAAACAGCTCTGGTGGATGTAAGTAATGGCGGTGTGGATATGTTGCCTGGAGAACGAATTCTCGACCTTGAATATGCGGATGATATTGTCTTAATGTGCGATAATGCCCAAGGCATGCAATCAGCACTTAATCAGTTGGCAATCAGTGTCCGCAGGTACGGCATGTGCTTTGCACCCTCCAAGTGCAAAGTACTCCTACAAGACTGGCAGGATTCACATCCTGTACTCACCCTGGATGGTGAGGAGATCGAAGTAGTTGAGAAGTTCGTGTATCTAGGTAGCTATATAAGTGCTGGTGGTGGCGTGAGTGATGAGATTGATGCACGTATAATGAAAGCCAGAGCGGCTTATGCCAATCTGGGCCATCTTTGGCGCCTTCGTGATGTTAGTCTGGCTGTAAAAGGTCGGATCTACAACGCGTCGGTGAGAGCAGTTTTGCTCTATGCTTGTGAAACCTGGCCTCTCCGAGTTGAGGATGTTAGACGTCTCTCTGTGTTCGATCATCGTTGTCTCCGAAGGATTGCTGACATCCAGTGGCACAACCATGTTAGTAATGCAGAGGTTCGGCATCGTGTGTTCGGGCGCAGAGACGATAATTCAATTGGTGTCACCATCTTGAAACACCGACTTCGGTGGCTTGGACATGTTTTACGAATGTCGTCCCAGAGACTTCCACGTCGTGCATTATTTGCCGACCCTGGGACTGGTTGGAGAAAGCGGAGAGGAGGTCAGTGTATGACATGGTGTCGTGGCATGAAAGAGAGCTGCAAAGGGCTAGCTTTTGTTGGTCCTTCACGACTCCCTGGTTGGGGTCCGAGAGATAGTGCAACACAGTGGCTAGAGACGTTATCAGATATCGCTCAGAATAGAAGCCAGTGGCGATCCTGCTGCAACCTTCTTTTACTTTCTACATAAAGAATGGTTCTAACTTTCCTAACTGAAAGAGTCTTCTGGTTGTACATTTCAGCCTGCCTTATCTTTTCATCCCTTCTCTTCCTACTTTCATTATTTTGTGTGGCGCATATGTACCTGGTGCCCTTTTGTACCAATATATATGTGTTTAAATAAATAATAAATAAATCTACAATAATACGGAATGCTGAATTATATATATATATATATATATATATATATATATATATATATATATATACTGTAAAAGCGGTCATTTTCGATAGTTCGCGGATAGTCTTGTTCATAAAAATTGTTACACTAACCGGCCATATTGGAACACGACCACGGGCTTTTTCATTAACCATTGCACATATTGATAAAACATGGGCACGGCTGCTAGTATCTGGTTCAAAATGTGGCCAAAGCCATTGCTCTAAATACTGATTCAATTCAAGAGCTAGACATCGGCGATGTGAAAATCCAGAGGCCAGCAATTCCTGACGATAAATCCGTTCCATCACATTTGGTTGAAAAGGTCTGTATGTATCTGTTGGACATGCTGAAGGATGACTATTTTTTAGTGGCCCCTGAGTTGTAATCCAATAAGTACGAGCAAGTTGGCTGATTCGATCTTGTGACACATAATCTACTGAGTCACGAAATGACATCTATGAGTAAGATAAAAAAACAAAGAGATGAACACCACTTAACAGTAAAGAAAGTTGATCGACTTGTAGATAATTAAAAAGTTGGTTACCCACAAACATAATGTAAATAGATATGATAAGTGGATTGTTTTGTGTATCAGTCTTTAGATTAATTAATCTATCCCTGCAAAAAAATAAGTCGATTTGCTCTCCCTTTGAACATCCAAGTGATTTTCGAAGGATTACTCGCATTTTGTGATAAAAATGAATTGATAGTAATGAGGTGACAGATTACTGAACAATGATGACAAATATGTTGGGCCAGCTTGGGTACTTTTTACGTAAGTCAACTACCGCCTATCTCGATGCAAGATGTGGGCTAGGGTAAGAATAGATTGGGGGAAAACTAAAGATGGTCAAACCAATACATGGCACCAGTATATAAAGTCACTTGTTGTCGGACTAGCCCATTTTGGTAGATCTAGGTTATCTAGTTGGGGTTCTCTCTTTTTTACGTCTCGAGTTCACCCCTTCTTTTTAAATCGGACTCGTCAGTGTCTAATCTTTCTTGCTACCATTGAAACTATTATTATTAAAATTCCTTTGAATTTCATCTTGTCAATTCTGTCTCACCGTGATGATATAGTATGGAATCTAAAGTCACCGCTTATTTGTGCTGGGTCCTAGGTTGTATACGATTGACTGAGTCAAAATGAACTTCTTTAAAGTTGATGCTAGATGATTATGAAAAGCCTATTTTGGATGAGCTAGTGGATGCTAGTAATTTTATTTGAGCCAACAAATATTAGATGCACTTTAATGGACCGGAAATACAATAGAAGATGTATGGTATTTTAGTGCAAATATAATGAAGAAAGAAAATTTACAGGTCATGGTGAAGTCGATAAGCAATAGTCAGTACATTTGCCTAACAGCATATGTCATTAACATATGTGGAAATAATGGCTAGTGACAAGAGATTTTTAAGATACCAGTAATAGTTAACTCGAAATATAAAGTTTTATGGTTTGAAAAAATACAAACCATTGCTATAATTATAAGTTGATCTCTAATTCAGAAATCGTTTTGTTTTCTGACCATATGAATGGTAGAGACCTGTTATGCGAAGTCGCTATTGGATTGGTGGTAGCTATCACATTTTCGTAACCAAGTAAGTGTTCTGTTTTGAGCTATAATTAAACGCTTGATGCTCGTTTCTGTTTATTTATTTAAACAAATATTGGTACAATAAAGCACCAGATATATATGTGCCACACAAATCTCATTTGATTTGTGTGAGGGCTGTGATACTGCCCAGGTGCCCGAACTGAAGCTGGTGGTTTTCTTAGGGGACCACACCCCGAGCCTTTGACCTAAAGGTCTAATCCATAATGCAGTGGAGCATCGTGGAGAGATGCAATCTCATGGTAGCCGGTGACCAACAACAGGTTCATACGCCATTTGTTCCCTCAGGATACTGGAGCCCATGTGCACCATTGGTTTGGAATCAGGGTTTCCCTACTCTCCTAGGTGGACCCTCCGTGTCCACCGACCCGGTTAAGGCGCCGGACATTCGCTTTTGTCCTCTCAATTCCGTAAACAACAGTAATGACCCCAGAAGGCAGTGAGTAGGACTTCCTTGGCAGAGGCTATATATGTGTGGCAATGTGAGAGCATTTCAAGAGGGAGAGCTGACTCTCCCCACTCTCGACCGTACCAGGGCATTTGGGGGCTTTTTATTCGAGTTGAAGAAGTCAAACAGAAGGATTCAGTACAGAGAATGTGAATTTTTGGTCTGATAAACAGACCCGCAGTGACAGGTGGGTTAGATTGCCAGGCACACTAACAGCTTATGAGCTTGTAATAACGTTTTGATTTAGACCCTGGATTCCGTGGTTAGACATTATATGTTGAAACTGCCTTAGATTAGAGATCATAGGATTATAGGACTCTTTTGAGAATACATGACGTACTTTAATGTACAGCAAATATTTCACAAAAGTAGTAACAAAGCAGCCAGTCCCGTCTAAGATATTAGGCTGTGGACCTGGTTGAAAAAGTCGAAAATAAGTTAATCCCTGGAACGTCAAAGCCTATGTATGATGAAAATTTATCTGAACATATCGCTTTTTGTTCCTTAAAACAGCGAATTCACCAGAACGTATAAAATAGTGTTTATAGGTGGGATCAACCATCTGTAAGCTGACTATGAATTATGTCATGACGATTGTCCCCTATAGAGGATCAGTGGCGAGACTATAAGTTATGGACGAACCAATCAGATTTACGAGAACGTGTCTTGAGTTTCGGTGCGAAATTCACTTATTTGACTAAATAGAGTTTTGGTATTATAGCTGATGTCAGTTCGTGATGAGAAAGTGATGTCCAATTCCAAACCCTAACTATCAACTATAAATCTTAATTCCTCACAATGATGTTTAAACCCTTAGTTAGCCGTAGTATGTAAGTGGACATTCTTAAGGTCTTTTCAGCGTTGCTCAAAGATCGTCCATAAATTATAGTGTCACCCTTTTCATCTTACTGACGCAATTCAAGACGGATAAATGCCGATACAAGTTAGATCTCCTACGAAGAGTTCAAACAACAGTATCATGTTTGATGTTTAGGATGGCCAACTTACTGTTTGAAAAGGTACATGTCATATTTCCCCACTTTCCTAAACATCTACGCAAAGGGTAAGATAAGAAGCCTACTTTCGACCTAAGCATATTTACTGACTACAGAAAACAATGTAGGGACAGCATAGTATTACATGAGAGTGAACTCATAGGCCATTAATCGACTGTTTAGGTTTCAGTTTCTTATTCTTTAAAATAATGTTATCGTCAAGACCCTGAAAAAATGTTAGATTACATGAAAACAATTGGCTTTTCTGAAACAACATAGGCATACAATAATACTGTTACTGTCTGCTGCAGAACATGAGGCACTAATCATATCAGGTGAATACTGATGATTGTAGTGGTTAACGTCCAAAGCTAAATTCTTATTTAAATTTAGTTAACCTGACATTGCAAATACTTGAATCAGCTCAACGTTTCTGTTGATTTCACTACGCATTACACCCAAGACTCTCACTCAAACAAGAGTCCCAAAGGCCTAGATTGTTTAGGCAAATCAATTAGAGTTATTATCGCTGTCAAATACGCAGTGCTCCTCACAAGTTAACTTTAAGTCTTGGACTATAGTGAAAGTTTCTTGCACACCCTAATATTTACAAGCTGTAAAGGTCCCTTGAGGCTACTTCAAATCTTAATGCTCGTAAAATAAGTGTATATTTTGCACCTATTATAAGTAAAAAAAACCGCAAAGGAGTCCCACAAAATAAGCATGAAAGTAACGTACAGTTTTAAGATTTCACTGACCTTGACAAAAGTTTCATAGGATTAAACATAGACCACTTTGTGACCAAGTATTGAGACCGTCTAGCAAGACCTCATTTACTTCGCAGCTTGGAATGCGGTAGACCAAACCAATCAGCAGCTCTTTTCCCTTGAATTTCAGGCGGCAGCTAAATAATTTACACGTCACGCTCTCAATGGATAACGGTAAACGGAATAATATTCCTAATGAATAGAGCTACTGAAACTCTTTTACGCTTCTGTATTACGTCGGCTCTAACTAAGGTAGAACCTTCAAAATCAAGTCCCATACTGTCTGTAGGTTGCGACAGCCAAGTTTCTGTGACCGAGATTACATTCTGCTTGGTAGAGTCAATACGTGCACTTGGTTGTGATAGCTTGTTGGACAAGCTTAAGGCATTTGTGTAAAAGATTCGAAGACTATTTAAATGGCTTCATACTGCGCCCATAGTGGCTTCGGCATCATCCTCTGTCAAGACCACACAACCCGAAAACTCACAATTTTTAGGTCCTTTTCGACAGGATATAACCTAAGTTTTATTTCGTTTACACGATCTGTGAACTACATGTCCTTAAGGACAAAAACTATGGAGTCCTTTAGTTCGGGTCCATTCTATATTATTAAATCCCTTTCATTGGGATGTTTAAATACTACTTTAGGCAGCCTGGTTTGATTATGTTTTAAGTTCATTTGGCTACCTACTCTATAAATCTTTAGCAAGCCGACTCCGAAGATATCTTGGTGCTTTAGTTGATTTAGTAGCTGTTTTATCAACCCAATGTCATACTCAAACGAGTTTTCGGTTCTTAGCTTTCACTCTTTTTGATTCTATGAAAGATAACTGACCTGTCCCTTGATCGATCTTCAATTTCTCTGCTACTTTTATGGGGGGTTGGCTTTCCTTTAATAGCGCTATGTCGATTCTTGTTCTCAGTCCGTACCCATTCATCAACTTTCGTTGGAGTGGCAACCACAGTCACGAAAAACACTGTGGGATTCCGGAAAATTATCGACGACTTGGGCAGTTAGGTTGTTTTTTCTGCTAGCTACCATTTAGAGGACGGGAGACAGAAGAAACTTCCTTTTCTGAGCTTTTGTTCCAGAGGGACCTCTTTGAAGTTCGTCTTTATCCCTTTGATCCATATTAGTCAATGACTAATGAGCTTATTTGAGGTTGTAGCTGTAAATAATTCCCCAAAATCAATAGCTCTTTAAGTGTTCGACATTGGATGCTCACCACATTGTTTTAAGTGGACTTGTTTAACTGAAGGCGTTCGGTCATGCATCAGCACCATATCAAGTTACGACTCAGTGTGGGAAACAGCTTCTACGTTCACTAGCCAGATTAGAGTAACCGCTTCTCGATATATTGATAACGTATCAAATATATCTTTCCAACCTCATCGCATCTGACTTCTGATTTTAATCAAGTGGGGGACGATTCGAAGGTGTTACTGGTTAATAGTTGTCAAACTACAATACCGGTCGTATCTTCAAGGTGACTTTACATAAATTTGTGCATCGACAGAGACAATACCCGTATGTGCGAAATATATTATTCATTCACCCGATGCTGGACTCAAGTGGAACAACCAAGTGAAAAATTGCCATTTTGAGGACCAACAAGGATTAACAGTTAACGCAAGGTTGTTGGTGTTGGTTGAAGTGTCGTTGGTTTTTCACAGAAAAATTTTAGGATAATGTGCAGTTTTAAAATATAGTACGGGAAACACATTATTCGGATGCAAAAATGTCTCCCTCTTTCACCGTCAAAGCTCTTGCAGCTCATTTTTATTATCGCAGATTTCGTAGGGCCATAAGTGGACTTTGTTCTTGCGTAATTGTTCAGTTTTCTTTGTAATAGGATTTCTCGGTAGACTGTAAATCCAATTCAAGGCTTCAAACACGAGTGAACGAGGTAGTTGGCATGATAACTCAACGTCAATATCATTGGTTAGCTATATCCTGCTAGACCACATGTAGTCGCAGTTTTACAAAATGTCCTATCCTGGAAACATGGTTAGATTGAAATTTTCTTCCAGTCATCATGTTTGATAGTCAATAACTTGACCCTCACCCCTTTTGTGATGTTAAGCTCTCTTATGTTTTTGGAATGCATGAATTTTGCTTCAACCTAAGCTCCATGTTGCACGACCTGTTGGAATAAACTGCCCCCACCAGTTCCACGTTACGAGCGAATCAGATAGCAAAAGCTTTTATATTGGATTTCCATTTAGGATATAACACTACCATAAAGTCAACTAATGTACACAAGTTATGAGATACTGGCCAGATTACACGTGGTCTAGGGATGGTAATGATAGATAACAAGCCAAAGAGTATGAAAGAAGAGTTTAGGTTTGCCACATTTCAGAGTAGGAAAATAAGTAAGAAAAAAAACACATAAGAAGGTACTCACAATGATTTAGGATATAATTAGCTTCGTGTGATCTCATATCGCTGAGCAGCATACACAGGGTCAGTGCGTCATCTGTCTACTTGAAACAGAAGATAAGAAAGAATAATAACACCTCACAGGAAAAATAACGCGACCTGAAAGATAAGAGTCATTCGGAGTCTGGAATGTAAGCATCAGGGGGTGCCTAATGATGAATAATAGGGAAAGGAAAACCGCATGTATTATCATTTGGTTATAAACATATGAATGATATTGGGAGTCCGCTATATTCATGCTCGGTCTAGATATTAGGTGGTTCATAATAAATTGCCTCAGTGTTGGATTGGAGTTCATGAAATAGTTGATGAGGCTTTTTAGACTTGGGAAACAAGGTTATTAGTCTTTTGAACTTGGTGATAGTGTCACAATTACGGATAGGTATTGGCGGCCTGTTGCCTAATAAACAATACGGCAAGTCGTTGGTTTCTCATATTTACAGCTAGTAGTTTATATGCTTTGTTTCTGTGTCTGTAGGCAGAGTCATGGACCATGACTGAGTGGGAGGCTAGAAATGAGAGAACATATGTTACTAAGTAGAAAGTTTTCAATGTTCCTTAGTCCACGGTGTCATAAAGGTTCTAAGGAGAGGTGCTTACATCTAGTTGTGTAGTCGAGAGTGGTGTCACATCTTAAGAGATGACGTGTGAAACATTTTTGGACATCTACTCTTATATTCTCTGTGATGTTCATGTTTGTGCAGATAAATGAGCAATATTCAAGGGAGGGTGGTGTACATCTTTTGAAGGGGGTAAGTTTAGGCCCTGTTTTGGGGAAATTGTTTATCATGAAACCCACTATCCGTCTAGATTCGGAAAATAATAAAGTAGACATGTTCTTCGAAGTGAAGGCTTCCTGTGTAATTGATACCTAGATTGTGCACTGATTTGATTGTCGGAACTTGACAACTATTAAAGTAAAGTAGTAGTTTGTGAAGATGCTTCCCAAACACATAACCCTACCCTTGTCGTGCTTAAATAGTAATTGCCAATTTTCTCTCTAGTTAGTAAGGTTATTGAGGTCATTTTGAATCCGGGATACACTTTCAACTAGAGCTTCAGGCCTAAAGCTGTTTATTATCTTGAGATCATCAGCATATACGTATGGTTTCCCAAGTTTCATGGTGTCACATATATCGTCCATGTACATAAGAAACAATAGTCGACCTGATACACTCTCAAAGTCTAAGGATAGAACTGATACAAGGAGTCCGTTGTTTCGTTTCGGAGTTATATCAATCAGGTAGTCTACTAGGCATGTGTCGCATGACATAGACATAAAAAACCCATGCTGGAAAGTCGAGATGAGATTATTAGTCAGTAAATGTTGAACTATCCCCGCCTTACATACTTTTCCCATCACTGTGGATACCACTGACGTTGTTCATGGGCCAGTAATTTTCAGCATTTGCTTCAGGTCTTGTCTCAACTCTAGATATGAAATGTGTAGTTTTCCAGGCAGTAGGGTAGCACATTCAAGAAAGCGATATCTTAGACAGTTTAGGTAAAGCATACAGATCATCACCTCCACTTTTTAGCATGCTAGCTAGAATGCTATCTGATTCCTCAGTGTAAGGGTACTTCAGCTTACTAATTGCTCAAGAAGTGTTCTGTACATTGGAGTATACGTTAGAAATGTCATAAGAAGGTAATAGGACTAGTTCTAATTCATTTAGTGTTTGTTCGCTAGTTGGTTAGGTGTTCACTAAATAGTTTCGCAACAAGTAATGGATCTTCGTATACTCGTTCGTCCTTAATAAATAAGTTTCCTTCTCTCGACTTTGAACGTTTAAGCTTATCTTGAGGGAGTTTGGTGAGTGCGGAAGAGTCGTTGTTATGTTCGATAGCACGATCTTCCTGTGCGGCCACTTTTTGCGTACATATTTCCTCTTCCTTGACAAGTAATTCCGTCATCGTAATTAAAGAGGAAAAGTCACTAAGGTTGTGGAATCTAGTGTAATGTCTTCAAAGACGTCTTTGTGTAGGAACCGGTATATACAGACGTTTAGAAAATGATGGTCGAAGATATTACTGGTGTTGTGATAGAAGGTGCTAGTTAGTGTTTAAGTATTGTTTACAGTGAAGAAGGTTACCCAATAAGTACTCCTTAAGCAGTTTCAGAAGTTTTTCCAGTAAGCCACGCAGTAGCCTCAAGAATTCGTTACAGTTCTAAGTTAATTGGTTGTTGTTTTTATATCAAGGCTACAGATGACAATACAATAGTCGCTACCTGGAAATTATTTTTCAGCATACACATCATTGCGAGTGAGGCCACTGGTTAAGACTGATTCCAAGATATTTTGGTGTCTCGTAGGGTTACCGATATATTGAGCCCAAGCCCTAGATATTCGATAAAATGATTCGTAATGTTTCGATGCCTTAACTGGAAACCAAGAAATTTCAGGCATGTTGAAGTCCCCACAAATAAGCTTGCTTGTAAATGGTAGGAATGAGACTAGTTTGAATACCTCTGACAATATCGCTATTTCGCCTGCTGATGCTTTAGGTTGATCGTAGACACGTCTGAATAGTAAGAAAACTGAATTTGACGGCT